ACGAAAGTTTATCGAAGCGGTAGAGCAACAACAACAGAAACTGTGGGAGCGAAATAGCAATTTCTACAACAAGACGATCCTGAGCGAGGGCTTCTTTGCAGCGGTTAACCGGATCAACTGTCTTGTTCCGATTGGTAAGTGAATTTTCTTATTCAGGTCAAGTCTCACTCACTAACTGTTACCAGATGGAGGCCGGAAGTTAGTCTACGGAACTGATAATGGCATATTTGTCTCTGAGCGCTGGCCCAAAGACAAATCAGCAAAACCAAGAAAGGTGCTAGAGGCTACTCAAGTCACGCAAATCGACACTCTAGAAGAGTACCAGCTGTTGTTAGTTCTGGCCAACAAAACGCTTTCCTCTTATCCCATGGACGCTCTCGATCTTGTTGAGGGGCAAAACAGCATGGCAAAACGACCCAAGAAAATTCAGGGCCATGCCAACTTTTTCAAGGCCGGCATTGGTCTCGGTCGTCATCTTGTTTGTTCAGTCAAAACATCAGCGCTATCAAGTACAATCAAGGTCTACGAGCCGATGGACAATCTAGCAAAGGGAAAGAAGAAGTCTGCTGTCAGCAAAATGTTCCAGGGCGGCCAGGATACTCTTAAGCCATTCAAGGTTCGTATTTGCTCTTGCATGTTTGTGGTTCACTTCACACTAACAGGTCTACACAGGAGTACTATATCCCTGCCGAGTCTTCTTCCATCCACTTCCTGCGTTCTACCCTGTGCGTTGGTTGTGCGCGTGGCTTTGAAGTGGTCAGTCTAGAAACAACAGAGACGCAGTCTCTCCTTGACCAGGCCGACACGTCCCTTGATTTCGTGGCACGAAAGGAAAATGTCAAGCCCATCCATATTGAGCGTATGAATGGCGAGTTCCTACTCAACTACAGTGACTTCTCATTCTTCGTCAACCGCAACGGATGGCGAGCCCGTCCGGACTGGAGGATCGCCTGGGAGGGCAACCCGAACGCATTCGCACTGTCCTACCCTTACATTCTGGCATTCGAGCCCAACTTTGTGGAAATTCGACACGTTGAAACAAGTGAATTGACACACCTCATGACCGGCAAGAACATTCGCATGTTACACAGTTCCACCCGCGAGGTATGTTATTTCCAGATTTTTCTTCCCATGAGTTTTCTATGGGGGTCCTTTTTTATCACTGATCAAGCGCTGACTGGTTTTGGTAGATTATCTACGCCTATGAAGATGAGCAAGGCTATGACACTGTTGCCAGTTTAGATTTCTGGACCAACAAGCCACAGGCAGCCGTCTAATGTCCGATGGGTGCATGCTACAATGAACTCCTGCTCGCCATCCCCGCTTTGACGCTGCCATCCGCATCGCTCTTCCCACTGAGCATTAGAACCTTCTCTTCCTAAAGTTCTCATTGACATCTGCCACTGTATGTGTCATCCAAGCACACTCACAGAGTCATGACTATATGTACTGTGTTGTGTCTACAACAATTATCCACCTCTACTTCGCAAACACCAATACCTCCCTTTCCTCGACACCAATTACAATAAATCGGGGGTTTTTCCCGTCTTTTCTACGCAATGTACAATGGAGCGCAAATACCACTTCTTGCGTGTCTGCTTTCTGGCTTTTCGCTGTGTTTTTTTTTCTACTTCTTGCCGATTGCATTTGGTCCATCTTCTCTTCTTTTTAAAAATTTTTACTTTTCTTTAGCTCTTTCTATCTCCCGGTGGCTGTGTTTGCTCCTACATGGCTATATTCTCGAGACGTTTTCGTTCTACCTGTATCGTTTTAAGTTCGAGGCATCCTTGTCTGTTATACTTAGCAATCTCATTGATGTGAATGACAATTGCATTTCAGATGAGAATTGCAGTAGATTTTAAATAAGCTTGGTTCGTTGATGTGATTAAATCCGATCATGGATGTTCGATCTTCTTTCATAATCGTTTACATTTTCACGTGCTGACCTAAATGGAAATAATACACATGAAGCAACGAAATATTTGGCCTCAACACTATATATATATATATATTCGTGTTGGTTGTTGAGAGCTTGATGATTAGTCCACGTGTAGTTACATTTAAACCACTAGATAACTACCTAGGGAATTGTAAAACTGAAATTATCCACCTTCCTGGTGAAGCCATAATTTACACCTCTTCCTCCACTAGACAGAAAAGTCGAGCGAGCTTAACAAAATATGCTCCAAGCTGTGTATATATCTTTTGACGGTTTACCTGTGGTCACACAAACCAAAACAAGCGACTATAGATAGATAGTGCGCAGGAACCGACTACAGTAGCAAAACCAAAAATAACGGAAGCAAGTGAGCTAGTCAGGTACTTTTTCTTCCTCAATTACTATCGGGGGGTAGGAAGACAGGCGAGGAGAAAGGATAGATAATGAACAAGACAGGAGCCACGAACGCAAAAAAAACAAGAGAAGAGGGAATATTGCTGCGCTGCGGACTTTGGACAAGAACAGGAGAGGAAGCAGAGAAGAGGACGAAATAGAAATGATACAGCAACATGTCACGGTGGCAGCTGGGGTGTGATGAAAAGAAAAAAAAGACAGGATGACCTAGACACGGCGGAAAACATGTGCTGGAACGGAGGCAGCCACCGGGTTGAACGCGAGTGAAATATATCGACGGGGATTCCAGAAACTGGTTCAAACAGTTCTGTCTCCCATAGAAAATGAGAAGCATTGCACCCACAATTCATGACCGGAGTGCCGTAATCTATGTTGAGGTGACCCATCCCCGCAAAGGTAAGAAAAGAAGAAAAAAGCTATTAACGTGAATAAACAGTCAATATTATCCCATAAACAAAAGCCAACTTGTTGGTGCCATAAAAGTCCATGTTGGCACAAACGGTATCACATTGCGAATCGGCGCCCAGCTGGATGAGCCGCATCGTCGACAGGGTATATCTAGGCCTCTCCGTTGGCTGCTTCGCCCATATTGCCCTGGCTTTGCTGCTCGCGCTGCATGCGAGCCTCAATCTCTCGGAGCTGACTCTCGCGAGCCAACAGCTCCTGTCGCTTCTCGGCAATCTCACGCTGTACCTTGATTTCAATCTCGCGGAGCTTCTCCTCCTCGCGGCGGAGCTGCTCCTCCTTAAGACGGACAGACTGGTTGGCAAGATCCTCGGGGTTCATAGCAGAATCATAGCCACTGCTCATCCATGCGTTAGCATATTGATCGTAGAAATTTCCAGTATCAGGAGAGGCATACCCGGAACCACCATCGACGCTCTTGCTGAGCTTCTCGGTACGGTAGTTCTCATAAAGGAAGTCGTGAGTGATCTCCTTCAGATCAGCCAAGTGGCTGTGGAGCAGAGCACTACGGATAGCCAGGAAGTCCGAGTGACGAGGGTTCTCAACCTCGACGACACCCCATGGGTACTGGCGCGCGCGCACTTTCCGGTTGTCAATCTCAACGAAGTCTTCTGAGCCGACAATAGCGAAGGGCATCAGTCCACGGAGCTCGGCGTTCTCCTCCACAGTGTCCTCATCATCCTCCTCGATGTCGTAGGGGAAGTTGTAGACGGGAATGCGGTAGTGTTCAATGTCCTCCATGATCAGCTTCTTGGACTCGGCCAATTCGGCGGGGGTGAGAGAATCGGCCTTTCCAATGACGGGAATGACGTTAACACGGGGGGAAAGGCGCTTCATCAATTCGATATCGAGTTCACGCAGACCGTGGCCGGTGGGTGTGATGAAGTAGAGCAGCACGTGCACTCGGTTATCCCTGAATCGAGGGTTACGCTTAATTCGCGACTCCTCTGCAAGAATATCATCGTATTGGCGCTCAAGGTAACCGACAATCTCGCCGAAGCTACACAAAAAGTCAGTCCATGAACATCCGTGGGGCATCTGTGTGTACGTGCCTGGCCTCGTTGTCAATCTGGTCACCAAATCCGGGGGTATCGACGATGGTCAGGGAGATACGGGTTCCTTCCTCATCCAACTCAAGCTCTGGCATCCCGATGTCAGTATTGATAGCTTGATACAAGCACCGCGCGCGGGGGGCGGTTTCAACTGACCGACAGTCACAGGCTTGATGCGGACACCCTCCTCAAGGTGGGCATTGGCAGCATCATCGGCATCCTTGCCCTCCAGAACCTGCTTGCCGCAGAGAGTGTTGACGAAAGTGGTGCGGCCTGTCGCAGAAAGGAGATACTGTTAGTCGCTGGAATTCGAGTAATTCGTTTCAACCATACCTGTTCCACTGGCGCCGCAGACCATCAAACAGAACTGGATTCCCTTCTTGACATTCTTCTTGCGACGAATCTTGATCTACCCGGAATGAGTACGGGCCTGCAATTAGCTTGGGAAACTTTTTAAGAAAGCGGGAAGCTCCGAATTAAAAGGGGAATGCACATACCGCGTTGAGGGCTGACGACATTGTGGGCTAAAGGAAGATTAAAGAAATGTCCGGAGAAAGACGTCCAAAGCAAGGAATTAATAACGAGGAAGAATGGTGTGAAACTTGGCTCTCCTGAGAGTCTGGAGAGAGTAGGGGGGAAAGACAGTTCGTGTTTCCCCCTTTCCCAAATAGGCCAATCACGGGACAGCTCTTCTTCTCCAGTCTACTTTTTTACTTCTACAAAGCTCCCGAGGTCCTTGATCAATCACAATAAGTGGATGTAGAAAAAAAAACAAATCACGGTGAATTGTCAATTATACATTGGGTATTCCCACTATTTCCATGATACTGCCTCCATCCCCAACTGGCGTTAACAACTCAGGGGTTGATCAAAGTGGGTCGCTTCTGGCAACCGTATGATTACATAATCACCGGCCTGAGGCGTCGATGTGGATCTTGCCCGCATTGCTCTTATCGATTAAGCTTGGGGATCCCAGACATCCTTTGAAGCATTTGGAAGCTTTTGAACCTGGAAAGATCATTAAGATCGCCTATTTATTAGGGCTTTGGGACTTCACTATACGGAGTCCAGCTACATCTATTTATTTCATCAACAAATTCTTTTGAACTATGCTTCGTTGACATACAGCAATGAATACTCGCCAATCTATCGATGAGTCCATCGGGCCATATTCACTCTCAGCAACATTTAATCATGATAACACCTGCTTCTCAGTGGGCTTGGACACGGGATTTTGTGGTAAGGAATCCTTGAGTCAGTTACCAGGAGAATCTTGGAAGCTGGCTCATATCATGAACTATGAAGCTCTGGCTGATAAGGGACTAAACAGTATATAATGCCAACCCTTGCGAGCTCAAGGTTTTGAGAGGTAAGCGATTGATCTTCGGGTTAAGAATGTACCAAAATTGAAAGAACTTACCCTGATCGTGTTATTTGCACTCCAGATTTCAAGGCAGGCATCGGGATAGCGGAAATGCTTGGCCAGTCGAACTACTTGGCTATTGTCGGTGGTGGAAAAAACCCCAAGTTTCCACAGAACAAGGTAAGCAATCACTCTCATCACAATCTATGAATATCTAAGCTCACACACCCCCTTAGTTGGTTATATGGGATGATGCCAAACAGAAAGCGGCCATCACACTTGAATTCCGCACCTCCGTCCTCGGTGTCCGTCTCTCCAAATCAAAGATTGTTGCTGTTTTATTGAACGGCGTCCATGTCTTTGCATTCTCCAACCCTCCACAAAAGCTTTCCGTCTTTGAAACCTCCGACAACCCTTTAGGGTTGGCCTGTCTTGATCAAAAGGTGCTGGCCTTCCCTGGTCGGTCTCCGGGCCAGGTCCAAATGGTAGAGCTAGAGACCGGCAACATCAGCATCATACCTGCACATAGTACACCGTTGCGTGCTATGGCCCTGAGTCCAAATGGGAAAATGCTGGCGACTGCGAGTGAATCCGTAAGTTCTCTTAAGCTGTGATCATCTATGAGTTATTGACATCTGTACAGGGGACTTTGGTTCGGATATTCGCTACAGGGAATTGTACAAAGCTGGCAGAATTGCGACGCGGTGTTGACCACGCCGTGGTATTCTCAATTTCTTTTTCGCCGTCCAATACTTTGCTGGCAGTAACATCTGACAAATCAACTCTCCACATCTTTGATATCCCCCACCAACAACCTGCCGCTCGTCGCAGCCAGTCACCATCATCAGCATCCGAGGAAGCACCTCCTAGCCACAAATGGGGAATCCTTGGCAAGATCCCCCTGCTACCTCGTGTCTTTTCGGATGTTTATTCATTTGCCAACGCACATTTTGAGATTGGTGAGCAAGCCAATCTGAGCTCGTCGCATATGCCACCAATCTCATCATTTGGCCGGCCTCAAAAAGGCCTCATAGGCTGGTGCGATGACCAGACCCTATTGGTAGTCGGGTCTGGGAAAGAAGGACGTTGGGAGAAATTTGTGCTTCGAGATGGCGAGGAAGGAAAAAGATATTGTTTTCGGGATGGCTGGAAAAGATATCTTGGTGGTTGACAGAGGAAAGCCCCCAGACTGTCACAATAAGGGTGGCAGTATATCGCACAGCAAGTGATAAATACCTTGCCCGCAGCACGCAGTTCATTGGCAGCATCAAGCTCGAATCATTGCATCGCTTTCTAGACTGAGAAACACCCTTTGGCCAGAGTGGCCCAAGTTGCAGGAGATAATCGTGGCGAGAAAGTTGTCTAGCGCTGTAGTTAACCTTGGAAGACTTTATAATGATATCGCGTATATCTTTCAATGGCGGCGATCATGTCTATCCCGATCACTTCGGTGTCTTCGGGACTCGGGCGAGCGCGATTTCCTCGGCGATCGGTCCCTTCTGGATTTTTCTCTTTCGGATGACCTGTAGCGAGATCGCCTCTCCCTATCTGGAGAACGATCATCTCGATGCCTTCGCTCGCGAGGAGAACGGGAGCGGTGTCGACGGTGGTGTCGGCTTGGCCGTTCTCTGCTGTCGTCGCGCCGCCGAGACGACTTCTTGGTGCTGTTCCACAACTGGATTGCAGTAGCAACCTCTTCTTTCTTCTCCTCAATGAGGAATTCCTTCATCGGATCTTCCTCATCGTGGTTCCGAATCAATTCTTCCAGCTCCTTCTCCTCTTTCAGTATCGGTCGCCGTTCTTCTATTTCGGTTCCCCTTCTCCGATCGGTTTCCTTGCCCTTGCTCTCGGTGATAGCCGGTTCTCCCATCAACTTAGCGACATTGTCCTGCTCTTCCTCATCATCCTTCCGCTTGTAGCGCGCATGATCCACCCGAAGCAAACGGCCCATAACTGTTGCACCACCGAGATTATCCACAGCAAGATCTGTGCTGCGCTGGTCCTCGTATTTCAAAAAGGCAAATCCCTTGCTCTTGCCTGTTTCCTTGTCGCGGACTAGATTGACATGCACCGGTTCTCCATATTGTGAGAAAATTGCGATAATGTCACCTTCGGATAGATCAAATGGGAGTCCTCCGATGTAGATATAGGCTGTGTCGCGGTAATCTGCATGCCATGACGCCTCTGGGGGTCTATAGGAAGGTAGGACCGTCAGCGGGGAAAGAGCTTTACTGGAGTTTCACATGAGTTCAACTTACATCGCATGCTCAAGCTCGCGCTTATTGAGCGCCTGGACCTGGCGAATAGAATTCATGGAGGAAATGTATGAGAGATGTAGTTCAAAGTGCAGAAGTTGGAGAGAAAGAAATGTGGAGACCCGCGGAACCGTAATAATCAATTGTTTACGCACCTTTACCTAAACTAGCCCCCTGCTCGACGTGAACTAAAAAGACCTTCCTCTTTTTGGGGGGAATTTCAATCGACAAGCCTTTCGCAAAGTAGGGTTGTTTCACGTGGACCTGCATTTATCCCAGATCTCCCTCGGGATTCCCCTGACCCGCGACGCTGCTTCGACTTTCTCCCCCTCCGCCTCCACATTTCCACGCGCACAATATTTCCGCTATACTACAAAAGAGACAAACATTTGGAAGGGTGAATGCCCTTTGAGGCATGGTGGGACTAGAGACGATGTCTTCCAGTCCGAACCCCGGGTCGAAGACGGCTGGAACAAGCAGTCGGCCAACTAGCAAAGATGGCTCCAAGAAGAACATCTGGTCCTCCCTACTAGATACTGTTGCCAACGGGAAGCGCTTGCCTGAGAAGAACTTGCTAGTGTTAGGTTAGTACTGCTTTCCTCTGAGCATTCTAGTCCTGCTCATCCTCATTCCTGGTCCTGTCTTTCAATTCCTGAACTACGTCGCTAATAGCTCGATAGGTGGCACGCCGGACAGCCAAAGGGAATTCCTAGATACTTTTTCCGCGGATACATCTGCAGACCCTAGCTTAGCAAACGATAAACGGAAAGGGAAAGGGAAAACACCGCCAATCGCCAATCAGTTTGCGCTTGGATACACATATCGAGATGTCCTCGATGCCGACAAAGAAGGTACATGGAAATGTACTCTTTCACTAGCTTTGGCTATACTAATGCTCTCCTCGCGCAGATACTCTGGCCCGCGTCTCAGCGTACCTCCTGTCCGAGCCTTCTCCGTCATTCGCACCTCTCCTCAAACCGCTCCTGACCCCCAAGTCCGTCCCGGAAACGCTGGTTGTCATCCTGATGGACTGGTCAGACCCATGGACGTGGGTTCGAAGGCTAAGGGAATGGACCCGTCTGCTACGTTCTGTGCTCGTTTCGCTTGACGATGAGACCAAATTCGTTATGGAAGAGACCATGACGGAGTGGCGCGATCGTAAAAGGGGAATTGATCCCAGCTCTGCAGCTGCAGGTGGCATATCAAACTCAAGCGGTCCGGTCACAATACCTCTAGGACCCGGCGAATGGGATGAGGGCCTCGGCATCCCAATGTGTGTTGTCTGCCAAGGGGTACGTAAACTCTTATCCAGAGATCATTTGTCGATAACCCTTTACTAACTTACCTCCTCGATGTTCGTAGGCGGATAAGATCGAAAAATTGGAGAAAGATTACGGATGGCATGAAGAGCAGTTCGACTTCGTTCTCCAGTTCCTTAGAACGATTCTCTTGAAGCGTAAGGACTTTCTTACCCTGTGGTTGGCCATTTGGGCTCCTTTCTGACCCCCAGACAGACGGCGCATCGCTCATCTATACTACCCCATTCCTTGCAAACTCTCTTCAGGGCTTGATTCATTCCTCTCTGGGCATACACTCTCTTTTGAAAAGAGAATCATTAAAACATAACGTGATCGACCGAGACAAGATCCTGGTGCCAGCCAACTGGGACTCATGGGGTAAGATCCGAATTATTCGGGAAGGATTTGACATGGAGGGAGTATCGACAGCGTGGTCAATTGAGATCCAAGACCCTCCCGAGTCAATCTATCAATCAACAGACGACAACCAGCCAAGCGAGAACGGTCTAGCAGAAGAGGGCACAAGCGCAGTGACCATGTTCGAACAAACGATCAATGACCCCAAACGAGGCACAGCCAACCCCCACGGCAACACGACCAAGATCGAAATCGAGACCACTGACCTCCAAGATTTCTTCGCAACCCAAATGGAGAAACTGGAAGATCTTAAAGCCAAGGATGAAAAGGAGAATTCAAACCAGCCAACCCCACAACTGGAGATGTCTCCCATGGCCGACGAAGGCAAAGTTAACGACCACATCGGCCCTGTACAGTTCAACATGGGTGGAATCCAAGTGGACGCCGATGATATGTTGAAAAAGCTTCGGGTAAGCACCCTACCCGCGTGGCGTTATCCCTCTCCCCAACCCAGGACATAGCTAAACATTACCCCAGGACCGCGAGGCTAGCCGAACCTTAAAGAAAGAGAGCCCATATGCAGGCACCGGCGGCAATGATGAGAAAGCACACAACCAAGCCCTGGCGAACTTCTTCGCTGGCCTCGTCAAGAAACCTGGCTCCAGTCCCCGCGGCAGCCCCTCGGCTTGATTTATTCTTTTCTCACTGTATTTTAGTTCTTTGTGCGTACATAATACAGAGGCCGGAACTCTCGCTCCTGGCGATGGACTGCGATTTGATATATGGAGATGAAAGAGCTCTTATAAGACCTTTGGCTGTCAAGGGAAGACAGCTGCTCTGTTGCTCTAGCAGTGGAGGGAGGTCCCATGGCTTTTCGGCAGGTGTTAGATAATGATACCAATATGAAGTCTGTGAATTGTGATTCTATGTCTTCCCAACAATACGAAAGACGAAGCAAGTAGATATGCTCTCTGTTGAGGTTACAGCTGTCAAGCTATCAAGCACAGCCCCAAAATGCTTCAATGTTCTTAGTAAAAACGAAAGCTATTTTTTTGTAGTCTATTTGCTATTATCTGGTACCATACAATGCTCTGATGGAACAAAAGTAATCTTCGATTTCCAAATTTTACACAGCTGCCTTTCAACACTCACCAGTTCTCCCACACGGCATCAGGCAAGACCTTTCGCATAATAGCCCAGTGCTTGAGTGCACTGCGGTCCTGGTACTTGTGCAACCTTCCGACCTCCTTCGCCCACAAAAGAGCTCTACCAGCCTTGGGCCAGTGGGCAAAGATGGCAGGGTCAATTTCGTGCTCAGGAATCAGATAGTTTTCACGGGTCTTGCTGCGCAGGAAGTCTGCTGGGACAGGGTCACGGAATTGAATCGGTGTGTTCGAGCTCTTCTTGCAGAACAGAACCATGTTGGTGAAGTCGGTATCTTCGTCATCTCCACCGGGTGCTTCGCGGAAGATGCGGCAAGATGGGAAGACGGCCTTGATGGTACGGACGACAAGACCGGTTGGGTAGAGGGTCAAGTCACCAGCGTAGTTCTGGTTTTTATTTGTTAGTGTGCGGTTAAACGGGGGGCTTGTTAGTTGGTGCAACTCACAATGGCAATGGCACCGTCTTCCTTGAGGAGGAGGAGTGGAGACCTGACAGGAACTCGTATGTGAAGAGTTCAGCGGGCTCGGCGCCTCCGGTGAATACATCATGGACGATGTAGTCATACTGGGGTGTATTCGGGGCGGACTCTGCCTTCTTGACAAATTTTACGGCGTCTTCGATGACGGGGGTGTGGTTTGGCGGGAGGTTGAAGTACTGAGTGGCGAACCTGTGCACCACAGGGTCGATTTCGACGATGGTGGTTTCAATGCCATGTTTGATGAGTGCAGATGGTGTTGTACCAATTCCAAGGCCACTATTTTTTGTCAGTAAACTAGGTGATTGATGCTTTTTGCGTGATTCTTACATGACCAGCGCCTTGCTGTCAGCGTCAACGCGGGGAACACCATTATCCCGCTCAACCAGACGGACAGCCTCGAGCATAGCAAAGACTGCGTAGATAGGATCTTCCACCTCAGGCCGGTAGCCTGGTATGTTTCTGGTCCACTGTCCACCAAGTAGACTGTGATCACAACGCATAACCCGGAATCCGTCATTGTGGTTTTCCAAAACAGAAATGTATCCCGTATAAGCTTCCTGTCGTGCCAAGAGAGAATATCCTTCGTGCTCAATTGCAGAATTGACACCACTCATTCCAGCGAAATGGACGTTTGAGGTCACCGAGAAAATGATAGAAGGAATGGCCAGGACTAGCCATTTCGACGGGATGAGCGCAGCGTAAGCGGCCGCGAGGAGCATTTGCATGCCAACTCTGGTGAAAAGAACCGAGGACCCGACGATTGATGAAAGAACAAATTTGGCAATGTGTTCGCCAGCGGAATAGAAGATATATGTACCTATCAAGGGGACATGCTCAACAACCACGTCGCCCTGGGCTTCGAGTCTCAAAGAAGTCTGGATTTGCTTTCCGGCATATGCGACTGTCAGCAACACCAAAGGATAGTAACCACAGAGTTCCGTGACCACTGGGCCTGTGGGGTTACCAATCTTCGAGCTTTGCTGCTTGATAAAGTACTGGAGAGTCGGAACCCAGAATGCCAACACGGGGAGCATGAAACCACCGAGACGGCCCAGGCGCTTAAGAATCTTATCTTTCAGTAGCCATCCGACTCCGCCGGAGATGGCCACTCCAAAATTATGGAAGATATGCGCGGGGAAGGATCCATAAATCGGAGACAAAACCAGCTTGGAAAGGGGCGAGTAGAAGGCAAGCAGGATCAGCAAGATCACGCCGGTAGTGAACCGCCGGACATCAATCTGCCGCAAAAGCTCCTGGGCAGACATGATTTCCAGGTGCAGTTCTGGATAGAAGTGGCGGAGGAATTAACCAAGATAGCGCATCTGCAAGCTTGTTAGTAACTAGCAACCTGAAACTGTGTCCTTTTCACGCTTATTGCAATAGACATCTAATGAATAATAGAAGCTATTTTGATTCAGGTCCCTGACTTACACACGTTCAACACAGACACATATCAAGTGAAGCTTCAACAAGAAAAAAAGTTATTGCGGAGATGAAGGCACTTTTGCCGCCGAGCTCCGCGTTTTTCTACCTCCTCTCCCCTCCACACTCCGAAACACACCAAAAGATGCCACATTTCCCCAAAGATTCCGGGTGTATGGCCAAAGATTCATCCAGCGCAAAGAAAGCTGTCACCATCAAAAACCGTCGCAAGCGGTATCTGGACTTACACCCAGAATACTTCTCGGCGGGGCTTGAGTTAGCCGGTCCGCCTGCTCTCTTCTCTCCCATTGCCAGTTGATTATTTTACACATGTCTGGCCTAGTTTATCGCCAGTGCCAGCTGGCTTTGCACACAGAAGAAAACCAAAAAAACATACATTGCTAATCCTGCTCGACTTCTCCGCAGACCCATTATTATACGATCGCCTCATCCGCCGATTCCAGACAGCGCAAGAAAGAGAAGCCGAGGGGCGGGCAAAGGGGTTCTCGGGTGTTCTGGAAACTGATCTCCTGCGCTCCGAAGCCAAGATGGAGGCGATCTCACACCCGGACCCTAACGCTATGATGAGCTACACTCGCGGCCCAGATGGGGAGATTCTCGCCGAGGACCGTGATGAAATACCCCCAAATAAGGAGGAAGGCGAGCGACTCTGGCGGTGGGAGATGGGACTGCGTTTCATGCAGGGCAACGACCCTGATTTTGAGTACGCAACTGTTGATCAAAATGAGGACTACGATGATCACACGGATAAGCAAGACCAGTATTTCGAGGATCAGGAGCCTGAATGGGTGATTGACGACACTCGCGGGGACGAAGCTCACCCGAATCTCCAGGGTGAAACAGGTATTCAGGATTTTTAGATCCAGAGGAACTTGTTGCGCGTGCTCCTGAGACATAGACTAGCAAACTTCGCTGGCTACACGTGATGCTATATATGAATCATTGCCCGTGGTGGTCTATCTAAAACCACTCGGCTATTCTGAACTATCCCACTCTCGAAAAACCACAGAAGATGAACTTGACAGTGTCTTCAAGTTTCCTACCTCATGGACAAATTCGTGTTCGCTGTTGGGATGTGGATGTGTTGGCACAATCTAAAAAGTTCCGCAATGGCCGCTGGCTGCCATGGGTCGCTATCCCAAAAGCCAGCAGATCTTCATACCTGATACCATCGTTGAGAACGTTCTGTTGCTATAATAACATTTCTAGGTTTATGATATTCAGCTACTGGCTCTTGCGCATGACACTTGTCTGTTGTCCATTTCTGACTATCGGGGCTCCACTTCAGAGTGAACACCCTACTTGGATCTTTACCTGGCTTCCTTTGCATGATACATGTGTGGCAATGCTCAAGACGAATAGTATGGATGTATCTACTCGGGCTCGTAATTTAGCCTGCGGTGATCATATCACAATTCTAGCTAATAAACAATGAAGCTTGCATAGATCAGTATTCACAACAATGCTATGCTCTTATCCACATAGAATCTGTGAAAGTCAAGCGTCAGCCTTATATGCTCGCCATTCATGCAGCGCCCTTGGCCAAAAGTGCAATTGCCTTCTCCCTGAGCTTGAACTTCTGAATCTTTCCACTTGCTGTCTTGGGAAAAGACTCCAACGGGCCCAAAAAGAAGACATGTTTCGGAACTATAAGGAAACAAATCATCAGCTCAGTCCACAGGACATTAGGATGATTGAAAACCAGCTGAAAAGATGGGAAACGATACAGCCCTAGAGTAGCCTAGGTTATGACTTACTAAGATGGTTGCTAAGTTTTTCGCGCACCCATTGCTGAATATCCTCAGCGGTGACTTTCTTTGAACCTTGGTCCCGGGCAACAACAAAAGCAGCCACTGCCTCGCCATATCTCACGTCGGGGACGCCGACGACAGACACATCTGCAACCCCACCATGGGCTAGCAAGCAATTCTCGATCTCTAGGGGGTGTATATTCTCGCCACCGCGGATGATCAGATCTTTGATCCGTCCAGTGATACTGATATATCCATCTGGTGACATTGAAGCTTCATCTCCAGTCTAAACCCAGGGTCAGAGAAAACAGCTTTACTTAGAATGAAGAAAGAAGAATGGACTCACGTGCATCCAGACCTTGCCAGATTCATCTGCAATCATCACCTCCGCGGTTTTTTCTGGAGCATCCCAGTATTCCTTCATCAGCAGGTACCCGCTCACTGCCAACTCACCCCGTTTCTCTATAGGCAGAATATTTTTCTTGTCCACAGGGTCCACAATCTTTGCCTCGACATGTGGCATGAGCTTTCCAACAGAGTAGATCCGCTTGTCAATGGGATCGTTTGTCGTTGTCATAGCCGAAACGGGGCTTGTTTCCGTCATCCCATAGCAGATTGTCAATTCAGTCAGATTCAGTACCTTGTGCAGTTTCTTCATTATTTCGGAAGGAATACTGCTTCCCGCAGCGATGCCCGTGCGAAGATGTTGAAATCCCTCGCTGGAGATTTCTTTCGTCTCGATCATGCTCAGCTGCTCGAGGAACATTGTCGGTACACCATGTAGCGCGGTACATTTCTCTTCTTGGACAGCCTCTAGTGCAGCACGAGCATTGAAGGACTCACTGGGGAAGACGATGGCTGAACCGTGGGTTGCTGTCGCCATGTAACCTAATATGCTGCCGAAGCAATGAAACAGCGGCGGTGGGCAACAGACAATATCATTTGGCGTGAGGAGCATGCGATCGCCGATCTGGGAGCCGTTATTCAGGATGGAGTGATGGCTAAGGCATGCTGCCTTGGGCATTGATGTGGTTCCTGACGTGAACTGGATGTTCACAATCTCATGCGGCGAGAGATTTTGAGCGGGAAGTGGGCGACCATCTGCAGTGAGTTGGGACATGATGGATGCATATGGCGTCAAACTTTTATAAGATGATATATCTACGCGACCTTCGGAATTGTCGACCATAATGATCTTTTTCAGAGAAGGAACCAATGCGGACTCCAAGTTTGACTTGTGGAGATCTTCAACAAGGTCATCGAGCAAGGGAACATTGCTTCGTGGTTTCTTTCGGGGCAGGTTGGACTCTGTGCTGATTAAAAGATGACTGGCTTCCAGGTGGCCCAGGGCCGCAATCACTTGTGCAATATTGAAAGACGGATTGAGTGGAACCTATCATATTATTAGCCACACTGTCACATATCACAATGTGCGGGGTGACCTACCAAAATGGCACCAAGTTTGAATAACGCGTATGTTGCCTGGTCACGGATATTAACCTTGTTGGTCGCTTAGATGTTTCCATGCCCACCTAACGTACCACAGCGTATTCCATCGAGTTCCCAAGCATGACTCCAACCCGCTCCCCCTTCCCAACACCGACCGATCCCAGCCCACGAGCGAGCGCATTGCTTCTTGCGTCTAAAGAGGAATATGTTGCTCGGTCGTTCTGATGTCTTGAGATAACACTATGTATAGTCAGTATGTTAAGTCTAAATTGCCCAATCTTGAACTGCAGTTCTCACGCTGTTCTATCGCCGCATTCCGCGACAATCTTGGCGAAATGATCACCAACTGTGGACTCAATCAAGGGGGGCTGTATATTGAAAACGATAATGTCAGATAAATATTGCTTCACATCAACTGTGTTCTCTCTGGATTGTGTTTGGACAGAGAATACTCACACCTGATGGCCCCCGCGCATAGCTCTCTGTCAGTAGTCCTCTCCTAACCAATGCGTGCTTAAGGGTTCTCCCTCCAAAACCAGACTTTCGACAGGACACACGGCCTCTCAGGCCAATGCCGGTAAAAATGTTGGAGCTCATGTTCGTATTCCAATGCTAGCTTGACTGTCTCATAACTCTATGCAAGGGCTGAAACTGTAACTGCCAAATCACTGCAATAGCTAGTAAAGTGTTTGTAAAGGAGTTAGAAAAGGGACGGAGCAGGTCCGCGGAAAGTAGAGCTTTCCCCGCACAATAAACTGCGGGGATCCCGAGGAACTACATCATCCCCCTTCTATAGCCGGAGCTTTGTACGTATTTTCGCATAAAATATCCAAAATCTATTTCATTCAGTATCAATATATCTATTCTAAACTCCAAATGCACAGTCTATAGCCAAGTCCTACTCAGTCCCGGAACCATCGCAGTGCCCGCATCGGCACTCAAAATCTTTACCCTTCCAGTACTTATCACCATAGCCAACAGTGAGCTCTTCGAAAGGCATGATATCGCGGATGGCTTCAACTGTGCACACAACTCGGTTTCCAATAGTGCGGGTGACGAACGACGTCGAGGGCCGGCACGAGTGGCTGATATAACGGGTCCAGTTGCCAAACTCGTGAGGGCAAATCGTGCACAAAATGCGAGCTGTATTGGGAGACGTATGGGGCTCATCATCGCATTGCGACAAGGGATAGACCTCTTCTACGGAATCTGGAAGAAGTTCACCCACGAATAAATCAAGAATGTCACCGCGGTTGAATCTTGTCAGTACTCGAATACCAGTACCCGTCTCGGGGTATTCTCTCAGCTCAACCAGCTCTCCTGCTCGAGATGCCACGCGGCAATCACAAGAAGCAGGATTGCCGCACATAAGGCAAGCGCGTCCGACGTTAGCCGAGCTGCCATCAGACATATGGCGAAGCGTCGGGTCCTGTTTCTGGCCACCCCACTTCTTGGGATCAAAGATACTCTCACCAATGTGTTTCTGTAACTTGCCTTTGTAGGTGGGCTCCTTCAGCTTGCCATCGAACGTGATGACGGTGTGGTGAGGGTGGTCGACTTTCCACTGCATGTATGTTTCGATTTCGGGTTTCATGTCTGGCAGACCTGGGATGGGGTAGCCCTGGTGGATCCAGATCATGTTACGCCACTTCAGGCTACGGTTGTGGGCATAAACTTCAATACTCAATCTGTTTTCTTGAATCTTCTGGATCAGGAATCTCCAGGTTCTATCGTCGGCTTCTTTGATGCCTCGTCGGAATGCTTCGGCATGGGCACAGATAGCAAACATCTTCCATCCGAGCCCAGTAACAAACTGGAGGAATCTACTGTTAGGTGTGACGGGTTGGAACTCACCATGTTCCGTCTTGAAGGATTCCACGCAGGCCATGTAGTTGCCGATTTCCCGCTCAACAAATCCTTCTGTGAAGGTACGCATGTTGAAGAACATCTGACAATTATAAAAATTCTCTCCCGCGAGTCTCTCTATGTTGCAGTAGGTGTTGATGTCATGGTACACGGCTAGTATGATATCAGTAGCGTACTTATTTGCCGTCTGGTTCAGCGCTTCTTCAGAGCCCCAGGGTGGGAACAGCTTGTTCATGTCGACTTTAGGACGAGTGGCGGCCTTGCCGGCAGCCTTCTTGTTGGTGGTCTTGGGGGTATTGACCTTCTTGGTTGTGTTTTTGCGTGTCTGGGCCATTGTGACAGTTAAAGGATATAACACTTTACGGATGTTGTAAGGGTGGAAGCGAAATGCAATGCTGGATTGGATGCTGGATGCTGTGTTGTTTAGAATGTGTGATGAATGATTATTTGGCGGGGGGAGAGAAGGGTCTTTATACTCGCTTGCTTTGACTCTCATATAGCCCAAGTGCTATTGTTATGCACTGCTTCGTTTTAGCCATAAATAGTATTGTGTAAAGGCTTGGAGTAGGCCAAAGACCGAAGAAAGAGACAATGAGTTCTCGAAATATATACTCGTTGTGAATGTAAACCCCTAGACTTTAAATAGGCTATAAGAAAAAGTGAAAGAAATATCTGAGAAAGTCCTAACATATATTTTAGTCTGAAAAAGTGAAGATGATCTAGGTAGGGAGGGACAAAGTACCGAGGAGACACAAAGAGCGGAATGACGCTTGGCGGTGGGGAAGCTCCGTTGCGCTGCTTTCTTCTCTTTCCCAACTCTTTGCTTTGTTCTCTTTTTGTATCCCTGTCATGCTTGTATATTGATCTATTTCCAATTTCAGCGCAGTCATGGCTTCTGAACCTACCGAAGAAGCTATCACCAGCTTTGTCAGCTTCACAAGCACGACACGCGAACAAGCCATCGCCTTCTTGAAGGTAGGACACTGCCACTAGGTAAATAGTATCTGGGCTAAGTTTATTGCATACAGGGAAACAACCTTGACTCACAGAAAGCGATCAACGCGTACTTCGAAGATCCAACAGGGTCTCAGCTAAAGGTAAGTTTGGCGACGCGCAGCAACTCATGGCTATAATCTGACATATCAAAGCCGATAACTAGTTACTGGAATGAGAACAGAGGTTCATGTAAGGTCACCTTCCTTATGGGAACTCGATTTGGGAATTAACATAACCCCCACCCAGCATGGGATTTTGCCCAACAAGACAATGCGCCACCAATGCCAGCGACAGCACCGCCCTCTCGTCCTCCTTCACGAACAGACATACGCGCACCGGAACAAAATACTGGATATCAAGATTCTGTCGCGATCGCCCCGAAAGGTATCACAATCTTGGCATTTCAACAGCAAGAGGTATACTAATTTGCGGTTATTGAACCATATAGAAAGCTCCGGACAAGGTCTCAGTTTGGCGGAACGCGAAGAAAAGGAATTACAGGAAGCAGTTGCTATGTCATTGAAGTCGGACATTGGACAGCAGGAAACCGGGGTGGCGTCGAATAAGCAGCCGCAGTTCAACAAAGCAACCCGGGATCACTACGAAGAAGGCGCTTGGGCGATGACCTTATTCAACACATCCTCCGAAGAAGTCATGATTAGCCCAGACCCAGAAGACCGCAAAAGAGTGGAGGGCGAACCTGCGTTCATCCGCCCCAACCCAGACGGCATTTACCTAGGAGGGCTCTTGACAATTCTCCATAGTATTCCTCTCGCGCGGGAAGCATTGCTCTTGCGGAACAAACCGCTGTTTGACTATGGCCATGAGCCGCAATGGTGGAATGGGCAGCCGATTAACCTGCCAAAGATTGTCACGGTGAATGATGGCAAGGTTAGGGATAGCGACTGGGATGATATCATACATGAGACCCAGCGGCTGATGGCTTTTATGGATACCACGAAACGCGCTTTTGGAAGCAGCGACAGCTTAGCAAAACTCAAAAGCATGTCGTCCTTCTCAGCAGACTCGGAGGAGAGCGTCACCAGGTTTTTGGAAGCATGGCACGGTGCAGCTATTCAGGCAGATCCTGAAAATCCACTGGCAACCATATTCACGTCCCATGCATACAGGAAAGAGCTTTTTGACGAGTTCTCTGAGCCCGATAGCAAGGAGCTCTTCACTTTTGAGCCTCCCGTTGAGCAGGACCATGGACAAACGCTCTATGAAGTTTTGGACTCCGCTTTATGGTCTGACAGCCCGGGGAACGAGCTTGACGACGCATGGCTTGAACACTTAGCAGAGGTACTAGTCATTAGACTTGATGCCCTTAAGAAACCAAACCCTGTGGGTGTGGATATTCATTCTGTGTTCTATCCAGATCGGTATCTTAGCAGCTGCCGAGATTTTGCTCGTGAGTTCCGTGCAAAACGACAGCAGATACAGGGAGATGTCTTGAAACTCGAACAACTCATACATCGCTACACCAACCCACGGGAACCCGTGGGCAGTTCGACGATCACGGAACTCCTTGAACAAGCTGCCCATGCGGTGCCATTCGTTGCGCCGGAGCAAGCGCGCGAGTCTGGTCAGTCCAGCTCCGGGGCGGCGGGTCCAGAGACGATGCGAGTCGCAGAAGAATTGAGAGCAATTGCCACAAAAATAGAAGCCAAGCTCAAAGGTCAAGATAGCCATTACTACCATGCTCATATCGTTAGCTAATATTCCGAGTACAGGACTGGAACTTAGAAAACAGAGTGCCATGGAGTCTCTCCGTGAGATATCAAAGACACTTACCGAACCTCCCAAATCACCTTCCGATCCCCCTGTCCACAAGTATACGCTACGAGGCGTATGCACTGAGCCGCATGTGACTTATGTTTTATCGAATCCCAACACAACTGCCCCAGGACACTTGATGGATATAGACTCGGACACTGAAAAAAGTAGCGACTACCAGTGGTGGCGTATCAGCTTCTCGGCGGAAGATGGGAAGGCCCGACAAGCCGAGAAACGGAAAGCCCAAGGTAACACTACAGCTACACAGGATGGCGAGGTTGTTGGCTATACTGTTCGGAAAGTTCAAGAGATTGAAGTACTCCAAGCCGCACGTGAAGAGTGGAGTTCTGTCTTACTCGTTTATGCGAGCGAGGCTGCAGTGAATGCACCAGTGGACCCTGCGCCGTCTCAGCTTCAGGTAATATGCACAGTCTGTCTCATATCGTTCCAGGGTTCCTGGCTAACTGGAAGTAGGGCTTCGTGAACAGAGACAACGATGCCTTTGGGGGCGAATTCGAGAATACACCTACCATGATCTTTAGTGACCAGGAAGATTCCTGGGCGCAATCGAACAACGCAGAAACTCAGCACAAAGAACAACAGCCTGAAATGTCTGAGAAGGCCACACAGGTGAATGTCTTCGACTATGAGGTCTCTGGGTTCGACAACGAGCCAAAACCCAGCCAAGAGATGCAGGAGAAGAGTGGAGCGAGTCTCTTAGGTCATCATGCTGCCGCAACCAACTCCACTGCGCCCGCTGTCTCGCAGGTTGACCCAGAGTGGAATTATTCAGATGACGAGGATGCAATACATCATATGGAGCATGTGAAGTAGCATTGAATGAAGCGTGCGGGGAAGCCAATGAATGATGAGTGAATGATAAATATGTATACTGTAGAGAGAGCAATGTCAAGCCGAGGCCATGTGCCAAAGGATCATATTGTAGCCGCCAATTCCTAGATGTCGATCCGGTATAAAGAATCCCATATTATAGTAGATGGATGGTTGTGTAGAAACCTAAGGTTCATGTTTGTTGTACACTTTTTGTACTGATAAGCTTGTCCCCACATTTTGCCATGTTTGCACCGGACCTCACCAAGCTTCTGGCACCCTTCCTCAGTCAATTCCCCTCGCAATTCTCTCAGTTGATCTTTGATCTCCACAGACCATGGCCCTCGAAAGTGACGCAGTGGCAGGGGCCACCATCGAACTCCTCGAGGCGCGCCTACGCCGCCTCACCTACCTCCTCACCGGTGCCACAGACTGGACCGGCGTCCCTACCACGCCCGAAAAGCCCGCATCTCTTGATGAGACAGTCTCCCGTCGACTCGCACGGCTAGAGTCAGAACTAGAACGGCTTAGTCGGAGTGTACCAACCGTACGGGACGTCCTACAACTCCGTATGTAACCAGTGTTCATGTTATCACGCACATTACCACCACAACATGCTCTCTCATCTCTTACCCTCTTCCTATTTGAACTCCCTATGTTTCCTGGTATCTGCATAACGAGCTCTCTCGCTCTCTCAGCTATCCAACCAACCCATCTCATTTAATCTCATACTAACACAAACCCAACCAGACGACCGCAACCCCGTCCTCTTCCAAACAACACCACCCCACCAAATCCCAGAAGGTCTCACAACCCAAACCCTAGCCTCAATAGTCCTCTCCTATGCCACCGCCTTTCCTGAAACCGCATCACGTCTTACATCGCTAAACGACCTCCCCGTGCCGGACGCGCAGAGCTCTGCAGCATTAATCGACCTACAGCCACAGCTAGATCGGCTCGCACAGACGCAGAGTGAGCAGGCGGCCGATATCTCGGAACTACGGGTGCGCACGGCGCGCATACTACAGCGCTGGTATGACGTAGGGCTTGTTGGGAGTGGGGAGTGCTGGGCTGAGTGGGAGGGAAGACTTGAGGATGTCGAGAGAGAGGTTAGAAGAAAGGAGGTTGTTAGGCAGGGGAGGGAGGAGGAGGTCTAGAGGGTACTATTTTCTACATGTTTTGTTTCAAGTGGTATTCCATGATCAGCTAGAAGGGTGGGATGCCTCTGGTGGTGGTGGTTGCTGTTATTGTTATTGTTTTGTTTTGTTTTGTTTTGTTTTTTGTTATGATACCTCTGATTTGGGCGTACGGTGCTTTTATCTTCGGCAGCGTAGGTGGGATATTCCCCGGTTTAGCATACGACACGGAGGAATTCAATCTACAATATTACAACATTTATGTCCATGTCCATGTTCAGGTTTACATCTGTGGATACGAGCGAATATATATCCAGCTCGATCAAGCCGATAATCTGATACATCCCAATGTGGCCTATGCAAGGCTGTCTATCGCCCAGAGCCCCTTCATCGACCAGGTGAAACCATCCCACATGTGAAATTATCTCAAATGCCATATATACCATGCACATCCCTCATTCCATTTGAAATCAACTGGAATGCGCTAGTCTACCCCAGGTTCTTCCCCGCAAATTGTGGCTGACGATGTAGAGAGCGACATAGACTCCTGACTTGTTAGGAATAAAGATTACGGATTGAGTTGCCTTTAAATGATGTGGTGTTGTGTGGAACAGGCTACCAGCGCTGGAGTATATGCGTAGAATCATAAAAATCCAAAGTAGCTCAAGAGGTAAACGTTTATAAAACCACAAAGCGGCTAAAGCTACATCAACCTGGGGCTGTGGCGCAACGGTAGCGCGTGCGACTCCAGTTCGCAAGGTTATCCGTTCAAATCGGGTCAGCCTCATGTTCTTTTTTCTAATTTCTTCTTATTAGAAGTAAATTCTACCTAACTATATCACTGGAGAGTTAGTTGGGTTGGGTTAGGTTTCCTTTTTTTTTTTTTACAAGAGAGCTGCATATAGCTATTAGCACGTGCAAATATAAAAGTACATACTGAGCTGGACTTAATCGCATCTGAGTAGCGCGTGTTTATTGGATGGTTATACTACCTAATCGGAACACCATACCTATAGAGGTCTTCCTATTGTGCATACCAGGTAAGATGGCATTCAAGGGCATCTTGGATTTTTCAAGTATAAGGAGTCATTCGGGGGAAAGTATGTCGAATACCGTAAAGGTCTTAACACCAAGGTTCTACGAGTTATATGGATCTCACTATGATGACACCCACAGATATAGTAGAATAGCTAGCTGTATGAGTTCCAAGGTACCGGAATTCTTATCCAAATAAGGCGGTATGGCAATAAGGGTGTAGTCCTCTAGCAGATGATATGTTGAGATTTCTAACCAACTAATTAGGGCTTTCGTGGTTACACCTCAGACATAAACCGACGGCACTGGTTTGCCCCTAGTATACTTAGTCTACAGGGGTTGCCAAACTTTGTAGAAACCCAAAAAGATTATTACAGTTAGAGGAAGAAAAATAAAGATAATATAGAGGTGAGAAACAGAATTTCCGAATCAATTGAAGGAACAAAAACGAATTGAGGCTGACCCGATTTGAACGGATAACCTTGCGAACTGGAGTCGCACGCGCTACCGTTGCGCCACAGCCCCAATTTGGTGATGATTTTCACTTACTGTTGCACCATAGTCCGCTGTATCTTTTTACAAGAAAAGCAAATATTACATGTCCATAGGAAAGCCACGATTGGTCAAAAAATCGTTTAAGATACAAGAGCACGGGCACCGTACGCTGCCGCACGGCACTATTATCAAGGTTCTCTGTTAAATATATGGAGTATACGGAGTATACGGAGTATGTGGAGTAGAGTTGGTAGACCTCAGGTTATTTAGGGTTCATATAGAGTTATCATCCCTTTTTTGCTCTTTTTGAAAAACAAAAGCCATTGGTTATAATAATGTTGAACTCTCACAGTTTATGAACCTATCTACGGCAATCCTCGTAGTATAAATATAAAGCGGAATAGACGACTATGAAGGGCGTTTATAGGGGTTTGAAATTTTGAGACGAAATTTTGATAGGGTGCATAGCTAACGAACGGGCTGACCTAGTGGGACGGACAGGGTTTTGGATCAATAACACAGGAAAGAAAAATCGAGACAACATACACATACATATTAAAGATGTATCAAAAATATTTAAAAAAAAAACAAAAAAGAACATGAGGCTGACCCGATTTGAACGGATAACCTTGCGAACTGGAGTCGCACGCGCTACCGTTGCGCCACAGCCCCAGGTTGATGAAGTTTGGTTTCCCTTTCAGCATTAGAAAGCTACATATTCATACGGGCTCAGGTACCGAGGAGGCATTCATAAAGCGGAGGTGACTAAGATTGAGTATTTATAGATTTCCACATCAAGTCCATAAATACATAATATGCTGAGAGATGAATTCAAGGGGGAATCACCTTGGAAAATAAAATGATTAACATAATAATCCTCATAATATGACTGTATAATTACCATTGAAATTTCTCTAATTTCCCTAATTTCCCTAATTTCCAAAGAATCGAGACCGTTGATTTCCAGGGGGCCCGGACTCCACTGCCACTTTTCCCTCCTTTTCTTATTATCGCTTCTCCTCTCTCTCTTTCAACTTTCAATATCCACTCTTTTTGTATTCTCTCTATCTTCTTTCCTTTTCCCCAGCCTGGTGCTGTTTTTGCCTCTCTGTAAGGGGAACTTCTTTCTTTTACCCAACCTCTTCACCCCCCAGATTGTCTCTGAACCCACTTCAGTCTTTTTAAGGTAATTTAATCCTATCTTGTAGGGACTTTCCTTTGTATCTGTCACTATCATAATTCATTGCACATTTATTCAACTCACTGTCGTTCCACACACTAACTAACCACCGTCGCTCCTTCCAGTCCGCCTCGTTCAGGACCCTCTCCACCCTTATATACAAGCAAATCGCTCATCCACGTTCCCTCTTTCTCGACTATCTCATACTTCCCTTTATACACGCTCCCCAATCCAACAAATCCAACAAAATGGCCAAATTCCGGCCTAGCAATATTCTTGGCGATCCGTTCGCGCTCGCGACCGTCTCGATTGCACTTGTTCGTTCGACCTCCCCCTACGCGACCCAACATTGACTAACATAATTCTAGCTGGCATGGCTCATTGCTTTTATCGCATCTATCATTGCCGATGTGCAAACCAAATATCCCAACTACTCATGGTGGGCCATCTCATACATGTTTTGTGTCATTGTGGGCCTCATCACGACCTTTGGCACTGACACGGGCCACGTGTATGGCGTCGCGGTATGACGACTCCTCCATGCAGAACATAACAAGGCTCTAATACTGACAATATCTCCAGATCGTTGGTTACCTTGGCTGTGGTCTTGTCCTAACATCTACGAGCGCAAACAACCTGATCTACGAAAACCAAGGCTCCATGCAAGCCGCAGGCGCAGGCTTCATCCTGCTCTCCATGATCATCATCATCTGGATCTTCTACTTTGGCTCCACACCCCAAGCCACCCACCGCGGCTTCATCGACTCCTTCGCCCTGAACAAGGAACAACCCGCCGAGCCCTCCTACCGTGGCAGCCGCCCCATGTCCAGCGCATTCGGCGCCCGCCCAGACACCATGGCAACCGGCAACACCCCGCAGATGTATACCTCCGCCCAATTAGGCGGCTTCGAGACCTCGTCCCCCGTCTCTGGATATCCCGGTGGTGCTCCCGGCGCCGAACGATCCTCTTCTGCGCCTCGCTTTGGCACCCCCAACCCCCCGACTCCGGGTAACGGCGACCAAGAAGTGAGCGAAGTGCCCCAACCAACAGACTACCCCTACCGGGCCAAGGCGATCTACTCATATGACGCCAACCCGGAAGACGCCAATGAAATCAGCTTCGCCAAGCACGAGATCTTGGAAGTATCCGATGTGAGCGGCCGATGGTGGCAGGCTCGGAAACAAAATGGAGATACTGGTATTGCGCCCTCGAACTATCTGATCCTTCTGTGATCTTTGGTCCGTATGCATGATGTCTGTTTGTTTCTTTTTTTGTCCGAGTTTCTTGCCATGTGTTCTGTCGCAAAACCTATTTCCTTTCCCCTTTGATACCCTTCGGATCCAACCTCGATGTGTGTGTATTTTTTTGGTTCCTCTAACGTGATGTCTTGATGGCCTCCTTGTGTTTTCTGCATGTCCTTTCTCTTCTTGGCACGTATTTTTGTGATTTGGGGTTTTGTTTTTACTCTAGCGGGTGGTTTATCCCGGGTCTTTCCTTTATGCCTTATGGTTGAGGTGCTATTCTCCATTGTCATGCTGGAATCGTGTTTAAAATTGGGGTCTGTTGATCTTGATAAAAAAAACTTTCTACATGAAAGAAAAATAAACATGTGAGATGGCATCTATAAAGACGTGTCTTGACTTTGAGTGTAATTCACCTCTAAGAGTTCATGTGTGTTCTACGTACGTATACGTCTACGTAATTTGTTACCCACAGGGGGGGGCGCACTTGGACCCCCATGGGCCTTTCAAGTTCTAGAACATCCCTTGCTTTTGATCTCATCTCGCCTATTTTATGATATGGCCTACCCTCCTTGGGTACAACATAGGTAAATCATTCAGCATTTATTCTATAATATTTACGTTTGACTATAAGTCGAGATCCATGGTTCGGATATGTCAAATTGAAGCGGGTAGGCACGTGTGCGCCGGATAATGAACACAATGGAGACAAATAACAAAGGTGATTGTATCTGATATCGATATTCGGCTATCTATTTTAGTCTATCTATAAGTTTTACTAGACTCTACAACATATTGCCCAACGCAGTGTTATATTATTGTATTAATAAAACTAGGTAGTTACTCCGTAAACGGGAAGTACTCAGTGTACTAGTAGTTACTTCAGTGTATACCCTAATACCGAGGTCCCTGCCCAATCACTCCAAGGAAGCTTCTCCCAATTCCTACATAGTACATATTAAAATAGTCATCTGCATGACCCTGAGAGCTCTCATGAACTTGAATCTCTGGGGTCGATTCACATGATACGCAACATCGGTCTGATCCTGTTAGTTGCCTTATTGAAACATGAGGTTTAGCAGCATGCTCCTCTCCTGGGTGTTAGGAGTCCAAGGCACACTGAACAAACACCAACGCCTGATATCAAACCGCGTGATTCAATTGAGAAGTTTTGAATTATAGCTTACGGTATCTCGTTTAGCTTTGAGGCATGAATTGATGATATTGAAAATGAAAATTCAGGAAAGAATACCCATAATAATCAGACAAAACCGGCATGACCACCACAATTCAAATATATGTATTTAATACACCACCCTTCTCTCTGTCCTATCCAAGGTATCATTTAGCACACAAATCCCTCTTAAACCCCCGAGTCTTCCTGAACAATATTCTTCGTCTTGACATAACTATCCCACGCAGCACAATTCTTATTAAACGGAGCATTATCAACGAGATCCCGAATCTCATCCTGCCGCTCAATAAACTGTAAGGCCAGACCCTCGTCAACATGCCATCCAATATGACAGTGCATCAACCAAGCGCCGGGGTTATTCGTCTGGAAAGCAATAAGCAGCCACCCATTCCCGGCCAGCACAGCCGTGTCTCGGCGTGGGGGATTCTGCGTAATGATAGAACCATCCCATCGTGGCTTCCCTGGTCCAGGCTGTCCTTGTGACAGGATAGAGAAGTCATGACCGTGAAGGTGGATGGGATGAGTGACGGCGGTATTTTGGATGAAGAGATACACCCATTTGTCCTTGAAAGGCAACTCGATCACGCCGCTTGAATTTGAGAAGCCTATCGCGTTGTGATAGATTTGCATCAGGGTCGGGTTCTCCCAGCTCACATTCATCGAGGTGGAGTTGAACCGCCAGCGGAAGAAGTTCTGTGCATTCCTGACATTGCTGACAGTGACATTACTACCCCAGACTGGTGAAATTGGCGGATCGACATTCTTTGGGACGTGGGGAACGAGATTAGTCAAAAGCTCGTCTTCACATACGTTCGTGAAGGGGAATGACTGCGTCTGCGGTTGTTTGGGATTGTTGCCGTAGTAGACGATGCCTCGGATGTTGCCGGCCATTTCGTTTTGGGAGCATCTATCAGCTGGTATAGCTCTCATCCAGAAGGATTCGGCTACAAATTCCTGGTTAGCTGTGATGATAACATCATAGCGTTGACCTAAGTATAGGATTAGCTGAATTTGTACGTTTGAACCGATGGGATGAGGCCAAGAGACGAACCCATTCCAAGGCTGATGACATTCGTGACAAACGGCTTTATAGGAACGAGATCCATTGCAATCACGGTCATTGTGTGGTTGTCAATAGTGAACTTCCAGTGCGTGTCGATAGAAGGGTTCACGAGTCGCAACCGATAGGATTTGCCTTGTCCTACTTTCATGTGGAAAGGAGACCCAGTATTATTTGTACCGTTCCCATAGATGTTCTTGCCATTGAGGAGTCCATTTGACAACTTTTTGGCAGGGCCCCGTAGTTGGACATCTTGGTGCAATTGGTTCACAGTTTCATGTGTCCAATCACTCAGGAACAATGCGCCCTTGTCCACATCATAATTTGCAGTTGTCGGTCCATTGATAATAATAGCCCCATATACACCTTCCCAGGCTTGTAGACCAATATGAGAGTGATACCACGAGGATCCATACTGGCCAGCTCGCCATTTATAGGTCATAGTTGATCCGGGGGCAATAGGACACTGGGTAAGCGAGGGAACGCCATCGTTTGGGTTTGTGTAGTTCTGACGAATACCATGCCAGTGAATGCTCGAACCATTCATTGACTGGTACAGATGGTTTGTGACATGGACGGTCACCCAGTCGCCCCAGTCTGCAACGAGAGGTGGGCCAGGCAAGGTGCCGTTGATGGTCATGGCTAGGCGTGGGGCCATGAATCCATCGGGAGAGAGCATGGCTTCTTTAACTTCAAACCAGTATTCGCGCGTAACACCAGTGTCAGGAACGACATTTTCGTAGTCTGTGTCGATACTGTAATTGCACCAGATAGATCTGTCATTAGGGGTATTTCCTGCACATGGTGTCCCGGTAGGCGTAGGCCCATAGATACTGCGTGCTTGAGATCGTGTGGCAATTGGTCGCAACGTTGTCGATGGGTTGTAGGAGTAATGGGTATAGGCAATGCCAGCACCAAGTAAATTGGCCAAGATGGTGATGTATGAAAATCTCATGACGACTCGATATCAGCCTCTCAAAAGAATACTGTTGATATCTGCTTTCTGTAGAGATATTTAGCACTTATTCCACCAAGCTGTGAGGGGAATTATATACCTCCCTTATACGGCTCAAGCTGATATTTTACAACCGCCTCTTCTGACCCCAAGGCAGTCTAGCTCGTATATTGCCTCGTACATTGCTAGGAGATGCTGGCCTATCGTCATCTTCAGCAGACAAAAGTAGAAATCATAGCCTAAACGATGATACCTCAGCCACGAGAAAGCCAAGGCCCTCCAGCTCAGTTTCAGCATGGGGCAAGGCCTAGTATCTGCCCCAAATCTATTGTTCAAGGGGGTATACCTCAACGATTCATACGTGAGTAGCGAAGATGATGCCTAGCCACGAGGGGGTTAAGGCCCTCCAGCCCAGTTTCAGCATGGAGCAAGGCTTCGTGTCTGTCCGAAACAGATTGCTCAAGGGGATATATCTCCGTAATTCATACGTGAGTATCGAAGACGATGCACCTACCCACGATAGAGTTAGCTAAGACCCACCAGCCTAGTTTCAGCATGAGGTAAGACTTCGTATCTGCTCCAAATAAGTTGCTCAAAATAGGGTATACTCTCAATGATTCATGCAGGTATAGCAAAACACTTCGTTTCATCGACAATCATGTGAAGTCAAATGATTTTCATGGTGTCTAACCACACAGCCTAAGCCTTTATGTGCCGTCCGATCTGTAGGGCGACTTCCACGTGGGCCATACATTATCGTGATCAAATCTTTTTTTTTTCTTCTTCAGGTTCCCGACGCAGGGTCCCTCGTCTTGTGTGTCTGATAGTCTAGGATATGAAACGGTCAGATCAAGTGGCATAAGAGTCATTCGGGGAGTTGCCTCGTGGGCGTAATATTCATGTATCAGAGAAGAAAAAGGAGGGCAAGGATAATGGCGAGCCAATCTCTGGCATGGGTGTAGATGTGAGTTAATGTGTGAAACTGCATGGTGTGACCATGCGCGTCATCTGGGCAGTGTCTGTTCAGCTGGGTCAGACTTTGAAGAAACCTTGTAATTAAGAAGTCTGATTTCACGATGGATAGGCAACACAGGATGACAATGGCAGGGATTCCTAAACTATCCAAACCAGAGGTTCTGTCATACTGTTTCCATACATGGCTCATCCTACGAGGCCGGCTCTGAGTTCGTCCCACTGCGCCTTCGGGGAAATAAGAGGGCAACCCTCCGGAGCATAGATATATGAAAGACGATTCCCAAAGCACCTCGACCCAACTCTGTTGGTGGCAGCATATCTATCAAACTAGAAATATACTATCATCAGCTTCAAAACATGACTTCGATTATCTTTGCTGTGATCCTCGCGATCTTCGCGGTTGGCTCGGCGCATCCAATGGAGAAGCGACAGGATGATGGCTCGTGGAGTTTATATGCATATGGCCACGGCATTGACGGGCTGCTCATCTTCTATGCAGATGGTAAGTATCTCTCGCCCTTGAAGAGATCACCATTAATTACATTTGCACAGGTCAAGCTCAGATCGGTAACATGGATCTGTCAAACGCAACCAACAAGTCCACGTTTTCATGTAGGTCTTGAAGTCCGAGTCCTCATGAGTGGTATCTGATTTGGCCATAGTAACCTTTGGCGACAACCCAAACACCTGGGTTGCCCATTCCGATAACACAACTACCCTTGCCAATACTACCACTCTGCTGGGATTGAGCGATACTGGCTCAATGGCTTGTCCAGTCGTTTTTACCCCGAGCCAGACAAGTAACAACACAACCATGCCGACACCACAAACCAATGTGTGGACTTTGTATGGAAAATATGTTGTGTGTAGCCAGGACAGGGTCAACTTCTACGCCCAACCGACAGGACAAGATGGATGGTATATCTTGCTATGGAGTGCAATGACAGATGCAGCTCTGCAGAATATCCCGGTGACTCTGAGAACCATCGGCCCTGCCTCTGGCTAAGATCTGGTTTTGGGGTCAGGTAGGCCATTGTGACTATATATGGATCGTATTATCCAGTCAGATCTCGACCATTGATAAGTATGAATCTAGCCTTCATGTTGATCTGACTTTGTCAATTACCGCGAGGTTCTACAAATAAAACCATATTCAAGCTTGAAGCTCTTATATAGATTGTACTTTAGCTGTATATAAATTCCTTTTTCGCCTAACGGAAAAGGCCCTTACCTTTCTAATAATAGATATATTTATCTCATATTTTCTTTGAAGCAAATAAACCCCCAATCTTTCCATTATTAGCCTTAAAAAAAGGCCATAGCTTTTTTTTAGCCGGGAGATCAGCAACTAACGTGACTTAACTGCCCAAAGGTGTCACTCTCTTTCCCCCCTCTTGACTTCTTTGAATTCTGACCTCTCTTTTGAAACTGTTGTGCCCTTTAAAAAAAAGCACGACAGCCTTATCCGGGGAAAACAGAGAAGAAGAGAGCTGTTTTCTCAGAATGGCATGAGGACTCACGATGTCAGAACGGATATCACGTCTGAAGGCAAAATTGCTTGGACGATTATCTCCAAAAGCGGATGCCGACCCGAGTGCCCACCTAAAACCCTCGGGTCCTGACCCCAAATCCTATAGCACAGAGAACCTGGATAAACCCCTATCCCCAAAGGAATTAGGTTCCGTATCTGCGCCTTCGGAACATCGCAATTGTACTCCGTCGACCGAGCGATACAATTCTTCCTTGCCGACTCCTATCTCGGACCCTCCGTCTCCCCTCGAAACCCCTCCGTTAGCGACTCCTCAGCATTCCGATAGCACCTCCTTCCAGTCCCACTTGAAAGCTCAAACTCCAATAGCCGAGACGCAATTGACTCCGACCTTGGATACTGTCATTGAGCGGGCTACGAATGATCGCCGACCTTCTCCTTCCTACTTTCCCCCCTCGAGCAAACGCCCGAGCCTTGCGATCCGTCGTCAATCTCTTCTCCCGCCAACACAACAACACCTGATCAGTGGGTTACTGGAGGCGAATCTTTTCTCTTCAGACCAGGGCAGTGGTTTCACTCCCCTCGTTCCCTGCGAGATGGTCACACGTCGCATTTGGGTCAAACGGCCCGGAGGCTCGGCCACCTTAGTGCCGTGTGGAGAGGATGCGGTGGTAGATGAGCTACGCGACCAGGTCATCATGAAATACGGGAACTCATTAGGAAGAAGCTTTGACTCGCCCGACATTGTTATCCGGATTTTGCCACGAGAGGGTACGACTCGATCAGCTCATCCTGAGCGCCTCTTGAGCCCGGAGGAAGTCGTGTCACATATACTCGATACATACTACCCTGGCGGACAAAAAATCGAGGAAGCGTTGGTGATCGATGCCCCGTCACGCCGGACCCCAAAGCCATCGCCACGTCATTCGATCTACCAGCACCACCACTCGGAACCCGGCGAGCATGGGGATTATTTCCCTCTCATGCCGCCGGTCAATGCGAACGCGGGCACACCGTCTGCACACTCGGGAGTCGCATCAACAACGGCCATTGCGCCATCAATTTCTATTATCAACACTGGTGTTGCTCCTTTGTTACCATCCCCGGGAAGTCGCAGGACACGGCAGCGACCTCCGTTGACACGACACAAAACAAATTCTCCCACAGTTCTTCATTCCCAAACCCCTGCCATAACAGGTACGTCCTCAAAACAACCTTGCTTTGCTCAACATGGCCATTGACATTTATAGAAAACGGCCCTCCTCCGCATTCCCAAACTATCACAGCTGCCGCTCCCGCAATTCCAACACCCCCGGTGGCAGCAGCACCGCCAGTGGAATCTCCGCAGGTGAAATCACACACTCCCCCGCCAACTGCATCACCACGCGTGGTCCGAAAATCAAAAGCGGCCACTTCTCCTGGTGCTATGTTTGGCGGGTTGATTGACGGCACCGTTCCACCAATCAATGTCCTCATCGTGGAAGACAACATCATTAACCAAAAGCTTTTGGAGGCCTTCATGAAAAGGTTGAAAGTGCGCTGGAAGTGTGCAATGAACGGCGAAGAGGCAGTGCGGAAATGGCGACAAGGTGGATTCCATTTGGTCCTGATGGACATCCAGCTTCCTGTGATGAACGGTCTGGAAGCCACCAAGGAGATCCGGCGCCTGGAGCGCTTAAATGGCATTGGTGTCTTCCCCAAGACAGCCTCTGGACGTTTCAGCGCGTCCAATACATCTGCTGCAGACAGAAGACCCGGCCTTCACCGTACGGTCAGTGAAGAGGACACTTTGTCAGATCTCTCGCTGTTCCGGAGTCCGGTCATTATCGTCGCGTTGACAGCTAGCAGTTTGCAAAGTGACCGACATGAGGCATTGGCTGCTGGCTGCAACGATTTCCTGACCAAGGTATGTCAAGCTCCCCATTGCGTCTTTTTCTCTCTCAAATAGTATGCTAACAGTTCCCCAAATAGCCTGTCGGATTCCCTTGGCTTGAGCAGAAAGTGACAGAATGGGGCTGCATGCAAGCCCTGATTGACTTTGAAGGCTGGCGCAAATGGCGTGGGTTCATGGACTCTCCTCGTCCTGCCTCGCCAGTTGTTACAACAGCCAGTCCAATGCAAGGTGGCTACCACAAAGAACCACCACAGGCGGACCCCCCATCGCCCTCGAGCTCCCGCATCCCTAATAAGTCCGGTCACGAATCCAAGCCACACGCGCCAGACGCGCAAATCCTGCGGGAAGATTCATGGGGTAGCGGTAGTCCTGACACCATAAACGCCATAGATTCACCATTGAGTCCGCATATGTTAACACCGGAGGACACCGCATCAACCGGTGATGCGACAACAGCCCCGGATGAAAAATGAAGACGGACTTGTCTTTGGGTGGGCTACCATGCCTTAATCCCTACACACTTCCAACATTTTTTGTTTTTGCCAATTTGTTTGATTCGACTTTCTGTCTCTCCCATTTGAATACCCCGTATAGCAACGTGTCTTATCTCTCCCATCTCATCCTTTCATCCTCTTGTCATGGTAGCATTACTTTACTTCGAGGGTCTCAGACTCAGTGCATGGTTTTCCTCGTGGATTTTCTTTTGGATGTATGGATATATTTTGTTATTTTGGGCTGTATACACATCAGTCTGCACACTTTTCCATCCCTGACTGGTTTCTTTTGTCCACCGTCCGGTATTTTCGCTCTTGCATACCACTTCCATGAAATGGGCATCCTCATATACACGAACGAGATGTCCATATCCCTCTATCTTTCAATGTATAGCTTTCTTTGTTTCGACTGCCGGAGGTTTTGGTGTATCCTCCTGCCTTGTACTTATTTCACTAATTATTCGAGGAGTGAGCATTTAGCCCTGGTATTCAGAGTATTTGGTTAGACTTGATCTTTTGAATTTATACCTATAATTAAAGTCTACAACATCCTCCAAAGCACCGGAACAAAGGAAATGTCTCAGACAATCTATCTTCAGCCTGCATTGTACACAATTTACTCCGTCCTCGGTATTCCTTTCCAGGCTCTCTCATATGCAAGGTAATACAATATCTCTCAAAAACAAAGAACTAATCCAATAGCTGCTAATCCACTACATTAATCATATTCGAAACCCCTATATATACGTACATCTGCACAATATCATCACACGTAGCACCAATCAAGTGAAAGCATCACCGAAATACGAGGATCCGCACAACGATACATCCAATCAATAGCTCCCTCTGTGCAATCGATAGCAGCTTTCAAAGACAAATAGTACCATATCAAGTCACGATACATTGACAAAATCCAGATTTGGGCCACAAAGTATGCAGGTGATCTAGGTCCTGGCTTCTGATTTTCCAACTGCATGAGATGTCCGTATTGTCTCCGAGTTGCCCTTAAATACCATGAGTTGCCCTCGAACCTCTATATCCTACATATATTCTTACATTCCAACCATACTACTATACTATATGTTATTGTGTTATCTCTCAATATATTCATTTTCATAAGACTCAAGACCTCTCACCAAACCACACAAGCCCCTCATCTCATCTGACCCCACTCAGACTATGCAGCCATCAAATGCACCGGCTCCGGCCACCACTGCTGCTTCGTGGCTCCAAAATACCCTCGCTTCAATCGGGTCTATCTTCCAAACTTCCAAGGAAGATGAGTCTGAATCCGATGCGATCTCCGGATGGGTTGGGACAAAAAAGCGACGCTGTCGATCTGTCGGGGAGGCTCGTTGAGATCTCGACTATGTGGCTATCTTGTTAATTCATGGAAATGGGAGGGAGTGAAACGGGATAGGAAGGGCGGATGGAATATGGAATAGCGGACTGGGCTCTTGTTTCTTGGCGAGGCGCTGGGTATTGTGATTTTGAGATTTCAGGGTTCTGGCGTTTTCGGAGTTGAGGGTTTGAAGTGATTGGTGATATCAAGCATCTAATTTAGGAATATGAACAGAGGATTATATCACCCCACACCCTGGCTGCACTAACAGATTAATAGTTTAAACGCAACTTACGGTTATAATTTTCTTAAAGTAGTCGGTGATAGAGTCTTTAATTTACACACTTGTTCGGCCTCGAATGCTTCGGCTACTTCGGTGTTTATAGTATAGGATCTATTCTACAATCCTTTGAGCGGCCGAGTATTCTTGTATTGTAAACTCGAGACCTCTCTAAAAGAACATATCCAATGTGAAGCGATTTAGAACTTATGTTTCAGAGTCTTTAAGACAGAGCCTCCTATAATTCTTGCCTATATACTCTATCTACTAACTCGTTCCCGCGTCTCTCATTCCTTCGCTACTATACTAGACAAACGTATAGATACAATGTGCCCGCCTTTCCCTTGCTATACGCTTCCAAGTCACAAAATACTCTGCAATGTAAGACAGTAATGTTCAAAAAGTTCGGATCCACCTGCAAAGACGAGGCTTTCTTCCATCTCCACAGTGCACCCTCCCACCCAAATTGTAACCTGACTCCAAAAACAGCATGAGGACATGCTATGACCATTTGTTCTAGCGGCATGAAACAAGCACCCGAGAAGCGCGGGGTATCGGGGCTCAGCGATCAACATCACTGAGCCAGCTCGTCTCGACGAGCACGCAACGATTCCTCGAGAGACTCGATCTCAATCTCAAGACGTCCTTTCTCATCATTGGTTTCGGTATATTGACCAGCTTCCGCAAGTCTTGCCGAATTCTCGATCGAATCAGGAATTCGATCGACTGGAGCACTTCCTAGTTCCTCCCTCCAATCCCAGTCAATCAAGCCCAATGTCGAGGCGATCATTAAGAAACCGACAGCAACTGCCGCATAGATTCTTGTAAAGACTGGAATAAGAAGCCAGCAAACCGCGCCAATAACTAGGATCTGGAAATATTCCGAGAGTCCCTCGTAGGCGGCAATGATGGAATTCATCTTGTGAAGATGTTTAGATTTGTGATATGGGGAGATGTGGAAAGTGTGTGCAAAGTTATCTCTCGTTTTTAGCTGTTTACGTGGGAAATTCGAGGAAGTCTGTATTCGTAGCGAGTTCCGATTTGAGGACCTAAAGTCGACAAGATCATCAGGATCGTCCATCGGGCAACCAGGCTCCAGAAGGCTATGCTTCAGGGCTGTGTCCGGGGCTCCCCCGGGGCCAGGATAGTTACGTAATGCTCAGTGACCGGGGGCCGGACAACTTCCAAACTCAAAGAGCTCAGATTTACCAGTGAAATGGAAAGGAATATTATCCGGTATATAGGTACATAAGTGATCAATCCCCTTCATACATCCATGGATGAGTAGCATACAAGTAAAATTACAAAGGCCGTAGCCAAGAAAGTTGCTGAAAAACACAAAAAAAGAAGAAGAAAGAAACGGCCCTGGGGAGGACTATCTCAAAATAAATCAAGCCTCCACACGGGTAGGAATCTTGACTTCGCCGCGGGTGCGGTCGCGGTGAGGCACACCATAGCGACGACCAGCAGCCGCCGAACCACGGCCATCAGCACCAGTAGTCTCCTTGGTGTAGATAGTATCCTTGATACGGTAGTCGAAGCGCGATTCCTCGGGAGAGACAACCGTCAACTTCTTCTCACGGCGAGCCTGGATGCGCTCACGACGCGCTTGCTCGATTGCGTCTTGGCGCTCGAGTCTCTTAGATTGGAGGTCCGCAACAGCAAGACGCTCGTTGGGGTGCGCAAGGCGGTCCCGCTCCAGGGCAACCATGTGAGGGTGAGGAATGCGCACATCAGCAGGTTGCAGGATCTGGCGGGCATTGGCGCCCTTGCCAACCCAGCCGATGGAGTTGGGGTCCTCGATGATCTTTTCAGCAAGGTCGGAGGGGTGGGAGATTTCCGCGGCTTCGGAGTGCTCCATTGCTGGAGCGCCGGAGAAGACGCGGCCGGCCTCAACACGGTTGAAGGAGCGGGATTCGGGGACTGGGTAGAAGATTTGGGAGCCTGTCAGGGGGTGGGCGGGGAGGTCGTTGATGGGTTCATGGTATGTTTGACGCTCGCCTTGCTCGGCGAGGGGTGTGGTGGGGACCATCTCGTGGATAGCCCGGGCATATGGCAGTGCTAGGGGTTTACCCTAATTTGAGATTCGTCAGTTCATGTCACGCGACCAAAAAACTTGATAGGAATCCAAAATGTAAAGGTAATGCAGTTCAGTTCAAAAATGGGTATAACCATGTAGGTGTCTTCAAGACTAATCGATTTTTTGTGACTCATCATATGCATGGAGGGTCGAAGCAAAGTCCGAGAGGAAACAAAGGAAAAAGCAGAAAGGGAAGTGGGTTCTTACCTGTGCGCGCTGTCTCTTCTCCAACTCTACCAATCTCACAACAGCAGCAATACGCTTCATATCGACTCCAAGCTCAACACTGACAACACGGACACTCTTCTTCTGCTCAACGACGCGGTTATAGACCTCATTCCGTAGCTCTTCACTGAGGATAGGCTCGCTGAAGAAACTTGGGTTGTTGGGGAACGGACGGGTCTTCTCCGCAGTCTCGGGGCCTCGCTGTTTTAAGCGGGTAAGATAGTTGGTTTCTCCAGGAACGTGATGCTTGAAAACAGATCCTTCATTGTTGAGCCATTCGAACATCTGCCGACGGAGCTTGGTCTGTCCTTGTGGTGCTGCCGTGGCAGAGAACTGGCGGGAAAGGCATTGTGATGATGTAGAGGATAATGAAGGAAGAGAAGAAAGTGAGGATGAGGAGGAAGAGGGAGCTGTGAGGTAGGGAAGAAGGGTGTTGGACACACTCCGGCTCTGTATCCGGGGTGGCATCTTGGGGAGTATATGACGGGGGAATGGGAGGGGAAATTTAATGTTAAACTGAATGCAAGACGCTGGATATAAAGAATCAAGGAGATCCAGCTGCCATTGACCCTTTTGCAGCAATAATTGAAGGACGGGATGTTGTCGGGTTGGAGCGGGAGGTGTAGGTGTTTGCAGGGGAAGAAACTTCTCGGTAGTTTCATCACGTGATCACATCTCCACTTGTATACAGCCGAGTAAACATCTTCTTTGCATTCCTTATATTGACCCTTATAACATTACGATCGCTTTTAAATGGGTTTGAGTATATCTTCTATGGCAGTAGAAACCTTACAGGATCCGTTTGACAGCTCCTATTACATATATGAAGAGTTGCCCAAAAGGATGTGAAAAATGATCCCATGATAGCTCTTTACTAGACCGTAACATTATTATAAATGTTTAAATGGGTTCGCTCCCCAGGGTAACTGGAACCAGTCCATTGTATCAAGTACAGATCGAAGCAAATGTATCGGTTACCCCCAAGCAAGACGGGGTAAGAGGAGGAGTAAAAAATAATAATAATAATAGACACGCCTCGTTTCCTCATTCGTCTGCTGAAAAGGCAGAGTAAATCAGACCCAAAGCAAAACGAGTGGCAATGCAAGCAAGATGAGAGAAGGGCTTTCAAGCAAAATGCATGGGCTGGATGCCTTCGTCTCTGCCGAGATAAGAGGAATATGGCAGGAGAGAAATAAAACCAACGCAAACGCCTAGGACAATATGTGGTCGACGTGAGCCGATATCATGTCCCTCCGTAGCTCATGCCATTGAGTAGAGAGATATTAGAAGAGAAGCTAAAGAAAGCCACATAAGACCCTTCTTTTTCGTACTTGCATAGAAATAAACACGCATTGCAATAGAGAAAGCAAGTAAATCAACGAAATACTTTCCGATCCACGCAGACGATGCATCGAGAAAGATCCAGGGGATAGATGTAACAAAACAGGGGGAATCACGTCGAATAAAGTAGATAGGAGCTCGTACAGATCCTCGTTGGGGTAGACAGCAAACACGCAATAGTGTGCATTGCCTATTGAGCCAGGGTAAACGAGCGAGGTAAACAAGAGCGAAAGCAAGAAATCACGAGGGTATGAAGGTGTGAACGAAACGCAATGGCAGAAACAAACACGCTCTCAAGCGCCTCGCACCGACCAGATAAGAATACAAGTGTGGCAATGACCTGAAATGCAATCCTCCCAATGAAAAGAGATAACAAAAAAAAGGAATGTAAGAGCGCCCAGGTTCCCATGCAACAGAAAGACGAAAAGCCAAGAAAAGGACTGGCAGAAAAACAAGGGGGAAAAAACAGAAAAGCAAATCCGAAACAGTACTCCCGAGAGTTATGCAGCCGCCGAATGCTGATCTAGCTCACGAAACGAAGATCCCCAAATGCGCCAGATATCCTAGTTCGTTCAAACATGCCGGGCATTATCTTAATATAACGCTTGGATGGGCTTAGCGACCCATCATGTAGTCAGGGTAAAAGGAATTATAGCCGTTCAGGTTTGGTGCCGCGTTGTTGTTGCCGCCAGAATTAGAAGGAGGCGGCGGCGGCGGCGACATCATCATTGAATTAGCTCCGTTTCGGATTCCCAGGCCCGAGTTGGGGTTGTATGAGGCATTGCCCATCAGTCCAGAATGCGGATTGACGGGGGTGTGCATAGAGGTACCGTTGCGCATCGGGGGCGCAGGCATGGGCATGCCAAGACCAGGGGGTGCTGCCAGCCCGGGAGGGGGGCCGTTGACAGCCGAGAACATGTTGTTGTGCATTCCACTCAAGCTGCTGCCTCCAGGGACTGCGCCTTGTCCAGATACCGAGTTGGACGAGTTCATGCTGCCGGGTTGACCAGAGCGCACGCCCAAGGGGTTCTTTGAGAAGCTGAGACGGATGCCAGTCTTGACACTGTTGGACAGCTTGTAGCCGTACAGCTCGTTGAGCGCTTTGCTGGCCATGGCGACCTCATCGAATTCAACAAAGCACATGGGTCCGTTCTGCTTGTTTCGGAAACAGAGTCGCTTGTACCCGCGCTGTTTGGAGAAAAGGGCTTTAAGTTCCTCCTCGGAAGTATCCGGTGGCAAGTTGCCCACGTACAGAGTGTTGCAAGGAGGATTCAGGTCATTCGGGTTTGCAGCGGGGAGGCTGTGGCGTGGTGTGTGCTGAGCGTTGTATGGGAAACCATGACCTTGGTTTGGGTATGCAGATGCGGGTGTTCCACCACCCATGCGTTGCGGGCCACCCCCAGGGTAGTTCTGCAAAGGTGGTGAGGACATGTTGTTCGACAGGGACATATTGGCAAAGCGATTGGTCGGGATTTGGGGGTTGGTGGCCCGGCGCCCCGAGGAGACATTGGTAGAATGGCCATTCTCTGCGTAGCCCACCGGATCCTTGAGCAGCTCGCCGGTCTCTTCGTCCGGGTCTTCATCAATCATGGACTTTCCGGTTATACGTGGGAGGTTATCGATGCCATTTCCGATCGGAGATTGTGGGGAGAAAAGGCTGTGCATACGCGAGCCTGATTCAGAGGTCGGAAGTCCTTCGCCGATAGTCTGGTTGGGGTTGGCGTTGGAGAGCCTCTCTAAGCTTTGGAAAGTGCCGTTGAAGCGCGACGATTGACGGGCAAGGGGACCGTTCGAGGCACCCATTAACGCACGACTTGCGGTGTGATCGATGGTGTTACGGCGCGTATTGGACAGATTCGCTCCCATCGGACCGGGGTACATCTCGACGACCATGTTGGCGTCATTTTTGGAGTTCGGCTTGCCATCGAGGAGGGATCTGGCCTCTTCGGCGGCCGGCAAAGTAATGAATCGCGCAATCGCGGTCAAGAACCCATCATCCTCGGGCAGATCCAGGGTCACAAAGTCTGCGTCCACAAAGTCTTTGGCGAAAAGAAGCATGCTGCGCAATGCTTCGCGACTCGTGTTTCGCGGCAGTTTGCGCATGAGAATCGCGCCTCCGTTTCCGCGATTAAAGCCATTCAGGCCCTGGAGGTTGCGATCGTTATCCAAGCGCATGTTGTTATCGAATGAAGCAGTTGTACCAATAGGGGAGAAAGGGTATGAGAAAGTAGGGTTCATAGATGATGGCGCTTGCGACGCATTCGGATTATACACGTCGGTCGACATCGCATGCTGAGTCGTCAAAGACGCCTGCGAAGAAGGGAGTGACTGTTGTGGGGGCGAACCAGATGACACGGACTCTGTGAGCTGTGTAGTTCTAAAAGACCCGGGACTCGTACGAGTGGACTGGCTAGAGCTGCCGCTCATCCCTCCACGAGATTTGAATTTTTTGAATTTTTTTTTCGCCTTTCGAGGGGGTTCGCGATCACACAGGGGAAGATAGTCCAAGTAGGAAGAAAAGGAGTCGCGGGATCTGGAAAGTCGAAGTTTGGCGCAGTGATTGGTAATGCGACAAGAGATCGTACACCAGACGCGCAACGATAGAAATGAAGGAGGCGAAGGCGATTAGCGATTCGATCGGAAGTCGAGTTCTGGATGGTGTCTCATCGGATTTGCGACAGTTGGACTATGAGCGCTTTGAAAACGATTGAGATAAAGATGGACAAGAATGGTATGCAAAAGGGAAAAAGGGTTTGAAAGGAGGGGAGAAGGAGAGTGCAGAGTGCAGGGGAGGGGGGAAAGAAAAGAGTCCGGAACGGTCGAGTGCCAGTCCACAAGTGCCAGATCCATGGATCTGCCCTTCACGACGCGACTCATTGGGGAACAGGTATGTGACAGTGGGTGTACATGGGGTTATATGTAGATCCTCGTATTAGGGGATGTACTCCAAGGTATATGACAGTACATGGTCATAAATTTACACAGTTTTACACAATCTTACACCTTGGCCCTGGAACCTGACCGCATGCAGGCAGTTACCAAGTGCGTGTCCCGAACTTGTCACTGGAATGTCATTTATTTTCATTTCCTTTCTGTTCTCCTTTGTATATAAGAAGATCGACGGGTGGATCATGAACCTGTCTCTTCTAGAAAAGCACCGGCCATGCAAGTGTAGCCTATGCGGCTTGCCGTACCCCGGCTCTGCACGAGATTGGGGCTCTATGAAATGAAACACATACCAGGGATGTTTTACTACTTGAACGGTAATCCCAAGCCGGTACCAAATTTAAATACGATACCTCTTAAAGCTATTGGAACCTTGGAAAATGTTTAACGTCCAGATCACAGGCTTGATATTGAATACCTCAACGTTCTTCGGCTTTTCTCTATATACAACCATTTTGTAACTCACCAAAGGTCATCACACACACGGAATCCCCAAAGTCAAAAACCGGCGATCCTCCAGGATCACTGGCCAATTGCCACGGGTCCAACCCCGGTAACACATGGGATTGGCTGCTACAGGGAAATGACTTGGGCTTATCGAGGGGGCGATGGTTCATTTGGTTGGCCCGTGGAGAGAAGCCATCACTTTTAGGGGGCTTTATTAGCACTTCTTCACGTGTGCCTGAACTGGTCATAGGCGCGTCAAATGTTTTTGGCTTTTTGAATACGATCGGGTTTCAATTTAGTATCTTTATACCTCATGACTCTACATTAAAGGCATATATGCGCATTTTAGGATGCTTGTATCCCACCTCGGTAGTATCTCCCTACACACGTGTTCCCGAAGAGATTCAAGTATCAATCGATATTCATGCGGCTCATCTACCGCGTAGAGTCAGAGCAGCCAAGGCTGCCACATAATATACAGAGGTTCCCACAAGGCAACTCAATAACGCCAAAAATGCCAAATCAGAAAGAAAAAAAAAACACAGCGCGACTTTCGACCCGTCATTGATGGTGTATAACTCGAATTTTCCATGGTTCTGGGATGTTGTCCAGCCGAATACACAAAGAATGTCGGAGGGGAGAACCTTGGAAAGCTATCAAGAATGCCAGGCAAAAAGCCCCAAAGAGTCAAGTAGTCAGACAAGCAAAATCAAGCTTTGTCAAAGGTAGTAGGTTTGGGCGCAACAAGGCCAGCCTAGAGTTCAAGAGTTAGCAGTCCGTATAACAACGACGTAATCCCCCAAGGCTATACGATCTGCAGAAAATGCAGAACCGATAATAGCCGTTCATCTCCCCTGGATCATCCGATTTATAAACTCTCGCGGATATAGAAAACAAGGGTCCGGCTTACCATGCCCATCAGCTTCCAGACGGGATCACTAGGCTGCGCACCAACACCGAGCCAGTACTTTGCGCGTGACCGATCGAGGGCAATCTCCTTATATGGGCGCGCTTCGGCATTCTCGTCGTACAAGTTTGTGGGACGTTTCGGGATGGGGTTGTAGGTGCCGATGACTTCGAGGGGCTTAGCGCCGCGGGCGGAGCTGGAGATAATAGGGTCAATTCCGATTCTTCTTGAAGATTAAGTGCACATTGAAGTATTCTATAGCCTGGCAATGTCGGTGTTTGGCGTTGGAGGTCGGTGTATCGGGGATATCCATTCATGGGGGAGAAACCACATACCGGGCTTGCGCAACGACAATGTTAAAGAAGGGGTTGTGCTTGTTGCCAAAGCGTGCGAGTCGAATCCGAAGGACCATTTTGGCGGATGTGTAATGCTTTTTCAATTGAAGATACCGCAAGACTGTTCTTCTGATGATCCCGTCTGCCCTCCGCAAAAGTTCTAGGATATGCGGAAAAATTATTGATCCGGTACAGCCAAATATGGACTAGCGCATATGTGATGTAATGGTGTGAGGACCCTCAGTAGATCTACTTCCGGAGCTGGCTGTCACTTTGATTTACACAGTTTCTATCAATTTACTCAATTAACCGAAAAACTAGCTTTGGACTTGACATTCTTATATGATCCGCTCTACCTTCACCCGTTCTCATCTAACTCCAATCATTCGTCGCTATAGTAAACCAGCAATAATGTCGTTGAAGGTATAGGTGTCTCATAGTAGCTCCAACAACATATAAACTGACAAATATTTTAGGCCATTTCGGCTAAAGATGCTGCAGCACTTGATAAAGACCTCATGGAGACTGGTGGTTGGTCTCTAGACCAGTTGATGGAGCTAGCGGGCCTCTCTGTCTCGCAAGCCGGTACGCTCCATCGATCTTGAACATGCACTCACGCTATACTGATACAATGGACAACCAGTATGGAAAATCCACCCCCCAAGCGCAGGCAAAAATATACTAGTTGTCTGCGGACCAGGCAATAATGGTAAGAGGAAACCCCAAGATTCCCATTCCGAGCAACAACAACCTGACAAATTCCCAGGAGGAGATGGCCTCGTAGCCGCTCGACACTTAGCCCATTTTGGCTACACACCATCGGTGTACTACCCAAAACAGGGCAAAAACGAGCTCTACCAAGTACGCAACCCCAAGCACCAAATGAGCTCTAGGAGCAAGAAGCAAGAAGAAAATCTAACCCAGCCCAGCGCCTCAAAATCCAGCTCCAAAACCTCTCAGTCCCCTTCATAGATGACTTCCAACCAGCACTTCAGACAACAGATCTCCTCGTTGATGCTATCTTTGGCTTCTCCTTCGGTGGACCATTGCGTGATCCTTTCGGCGGAATCGTTTCGCAAATCGAATCCTCCAATGTCAAGGTGCTGAGTGTCGATGCTCCCAGCTCATGGGATATCCAGAGCGGACCTCCGAATGAAGGACCTGGTGCAAAGTTTATGCCGCATGCGCTGATCAGTCTGACTGCGCCTAAACCGTGTGTGGGATATTACCGGGGCAGGCATTTTATTGGTGGTAGGTTCTTGACGAAGAACATTGCAGATAAGTATGGACTTGATATGCCCAAGTATCAGGGCGTTGATCAGGTTTTGGAGATTGGGGTTGATGCGGAAGGGAGGTTGTAAGGGAGTGAGTAAATGAACGGCGGTTTCGAATGCTACTTGGTTCATGGATGAGGGATCATTTACGATTTATCTAGTATGAAAAAGTGGAAAAAAAAAGTAATGAACAGCCTTTATATGGGAATCGCGTTGTCGTCGTTAAGAAGGAATGCATCTCTGATATATGCATACCGAATAAAAAATAGCACGCACTCTCAGAGAGCCTCCCGGATCTCGCTAATAATACCCTTGATGCGGGGCTCCTTTCCAGGACCGGAGGCAGAGGCTCTCGCGAGAACCCCTTCAACCTCGTAGACATCCTTGGCAGCACTCTTGACTTCCTCCCCGAGCGCTGTCACCAAGGTACCGAGTGCAACTAGTGCTCGGTAAACCGCCTCCGAGTCATTCTCTCCTGCGATGATCCGAGTCAGTTCCTCCAAGAGAACCAGGCCCCGTTCTGCGGACTCTGGAGATTGGCTCCTACCCTCGGAGGTAAGATAGACTGCGAAGTTGATGTACAGTGTCGTGATGGCGATTGTAAGGTTGCGATTTGGTGACTCTCCGCTGCTGGCCCAGGCAGACTTTACTCCTGCCAAGATCTGATCGAATGAGCTTATGGCTAGGTCGCGGCCGGCGGTCGTCTCGAATAGGTTAGCAAATGTCCGCATTGCGAGCATTGCATTATTGACGTTAAAAGGAGATTCAAAAACACCGCTGGATATCACACCCGACACGACGTTTTCATCTTTGTACTCGGCGGATGCTGTAAATGGCACAGCAGCCGCGAGTAAACGGAGAATATCTAGACCAGGAAGTCGGTTGGCGGCAGGCCAGGTTGTGACAATTTTCAGAACCAATGGCACTCCAGACTCAACCTCGGGTGAAAGTTGAAGCTGTTGGGGAGATTCGAGCTGACCGCACAAGGCAACGACCGTCTCCACCTCTGAGGGGCTCAAAGCCACATCCTTAGCCCCGTCAGACACAAGTTTTGCGTTCAATTCCTGAAGCTTCTTCGTGATAACCTTGAGGTTTGCTGAGCGGATGGAGAGATAGATCTTCTGGGGGAGCACCTTGGGGCGTGGCTCGGGGGTCGGAGCAGGTGGCTGAGACTCTTCAGTCGCCGCGGCGTCTCCAGGACGGTATCGTCGGTCTGAGCCCCAAGGATCAGCACCTGCGGATTCCTCAGACTGCCCAATGGTGGCACCTTGGGTATTCTGAGTGATAAAGTTGGCAACCTGGTCCAGATAAGTCATAGGGAGTTCATTGTCTCCAATAAACTTGGTAGCAGCCTCATATGGATTTTGCGTGGCATTGTATGGTAGTTTCAGCGGAGGCTTACCATCCTCTATGTCAACATCAAAGACGTAGTCGTAATCCTGGCCATGGTATTCGGTCTTCCGGCCACTGCTTCCAGCCGAGTCCACTACCATACCGATAGCAATCCATTCCTGTGTTGCTGACGACCAGGTGTGGGCGCTCACGGTACCACCAGGCTCTCGGATCATCTGAACCTGACCTTCCTTAGTTCCCGACTTTTCTTTGAGGAATTCCGGACCAGGTAGCTCCTCTTTATTAATCTTTCCAACTTGCTGCTCCGGAATAGCGGACTCCTTGACGGCTTGGTCAAACTGTTGTATGGCCTCCGGGGCTGCATGACGGTCAGTGCTTCTGCTGAAAACACGAGCAATGCGGTCACTAGCACCGGTGACGATATCACCGGTCTCACTGCAAGCTGCCACACTCCAAACTGAGATTGCAGGATGAGTGATGGTCTGCACACATTGGGTCCCGTTCCAAATCTTCACAGTGCGATCTTCACTGGAGCTCACCAGCTCGCCAGATGGGAGCGCAGCAAGGGAGTAGATGAAGCTTTCATGACCATGCAGAGAGGCAACGAGTTGACCTTGCAGTGTGTAAAGACGAATAATTCCGTCATTGCTAGCCGAGGCAAAGTGGGCTCCGGTAGAGTTCGAGGCAGGAAGCTTGCACAAGGCCCGGACAACGTCGTTTGAGTTTTGTACGCTTCCGAGTAGGGTTCCTGAGGTATTGAACATCCGAATCATTTTATCAGCACAGCCTGCGGCGATGTTAGCATGTAATAATTATCAAGGCCGTATAAGCTACCATACCCGTGATGATTGTGTTCTCGTCATACGCCAGCACGGCCCAGACGCTTGCCTCGTGTCCCTCCAGCACGACATCACACTCCCATTTCCCGACCCTCCATAGCCGGGCAGTAGAATCCCAGCTGCCACTGACGACCCATTTACCATCCGGAGACACATCTAGAGCACAGACATTGTGGCCGTGACCCAGAAGCATAGCGTCCGCATTATCCTCTGCACCCTTACCAGGCTGCCTGGCTTCAATTATTGCATCTTGTCCAGCCGAAAGGACAAGACCCTCTGGAAATTCGGATGTGGGAGGAACGTAGGCTAAGCTGTTGATGAAGGCGCCGGCATGTGCAGCGATGGTATAGTCATATGCGGGGGGAGGGGTGGAGACGAGCTTCCAAAGTCGAACTGTTGCATCACGAGAGGCGGAAAGAACGACATTTGGATTTGGGAAGACCACAGCGCGAACCTAGATGAGAAGTTAAAAAGTGTGAGTAGTCTGTGTGGTTTGGATGCGCGGTCAACGGCGTCTATCCAGACGCCGGGACCAGGAGTCTTACATCATCGCCGTGGCCCTCCAAAGTTGCGGAGAGCTTGAAGTCAGGCATACATAAAACTTTGAGGGAGGGAAGAGTGAAGAAAGAAGAATCCAAAGAAGAAATAGTCTGAGCGTATCACCGCGGAATGAATGATCAATCAAGCTCCCCTGGATGTTGTTGTCCTTTAGTCGGTTCCGGGGGATCGCCCCGCCGAAGCATCAATGGTAATATCACGTGGGCGGTAACGCCGTTTGGGGAACCTGCTAGAACGCGACTTATCAATGCAAAGGGAGGGTTTTGATTGGATTTTCTACCTAAGAACTTTCTGAGGTCAGCTACGTACATGCTCGGGGGTGTTTTTTTTTTCTTTTTCTTTTCTCAGATGACTCATTTACCATACTGCAAGACAGTCATTTCTCACTCCAGTTGGAGCAATGGAAGCCGAGGTTAAGGTCTATCACAGTACAGGGGACTACGCTGTAACAATATAACAATATAATTGCGAAGGAAGGATGATGAGAAGTTGAAGTGATTACCGTCTCACTGGTTGTATTTTCCCTGAAGTAGATCAGGAGGGGTCTGGTCAAGGACTACTGGTTGTAAAACTTGATGTGTTCCATTCGAGACCAGATTCTCGTCGGCCATAGGCTGTCCTTACCTGCATGGTGTAATTTCTGCAATTCTGCAACAAAGCCCATGAAGCTTGGCGATAAGCCGCATCTAACTATTTATGCAGCCATAGACATCAATATATGAGATAATCTCTAGTATGGAAATTGCCAGACCGGTTACCAATCAGGTCCTCTCAATTAAGCGGTTCAGTGCACCCAGTTGTTAAATGACTATTCAATTGTATAGATATCGACGTACTCTGGCCAAGCGACGGGTAGAAAAGAGCCGTGTGCTATGGAAGAGATCCATAGGGCAAATCAACAGGGCTTCGGACTGCCAGGTTTCGAACCCAGACTAACGTGCCATGCAAGGAAGCTCAGAATCAGCCGAAAATGGGACAGAACTACCGCAAAGGCTTTGCCCCATGAACACAAATTCCGAAGTCTCCACTGGCCATGCAATATGATTTTCGCTCCAAGTCATACCTTTTCACACCACCTAGGCTTTGCATCTCAAGATCAAGTGACGGCCGATTTTGGCGTCTACTATAGACTTGAAGAGATAGAGTCTCGATGATCTGAACATGTAGTTGATTCGAGATGATATTTGAGACGTTACATTGATATCATTATGATCTTTTCTTCACTGTCTAGAATAATTTGCCGTAAACTGTAGCTACAACGTCTACATGTGAAGGAGCCTCACGTGTTCCAATTATACCCGAATCAGACTAGCGCGTGTCTTACCTAATAGGTGATCGGCTCCAGGGCTGCCCGTTATTGCTTGAAATTGAAATTCTATATCCCATCTACACACCAAAGGAGTTTTGTATGTCCAGAGGCCTTCTCTCCTTTTGAGGTGTCTGGTTGGAAAAATCCCTGTTCAACCCACTCTCTTCGATCCTTTGTTCTCAGCTCTTCCTCGAACCCCACATAACTGTTTGATGACTTGACGACCCTGACGAATCTCTTATGTACCTTCCTTAGACATATTGAACTTTCTCTCGGTCTGGTTCCTGGATTTGTATCTTGATATCAAGTCGTGAGCTCTCAGTTGGGCACATAGCAGGTCACTGATCTGATTGGCTCTCTAATACCTAACATCAAAACCACTGAAACCCCCGGAACTTCCTTCAAACACTGACAAAATGACTGCCGGTGAGTGAGCTGTATAGATGAAATCGAAAATTATTATTTTGTTATATTTACTGACATACGTTCAACAGATTTCCCCAAGGTAGTCCCTCTGACTTGCCACGGACATTCTCGTCCAGTGACGCATCTGAGCTTCTCTTCCACCGTCGAAGACGAGCAATATTACTTCATCTCGTCATGCAAAGGTGAGAAAGATAAATGCTTCTCACAAGTTACCGCATGGTCACTAACCAACTGAAGATAATAACCCTATGCTCCGCGATGGTATCACGGGAGACTGGTACGACAAATGAAACCAAGCCCAGTGATCACCCACTAACATCAAACCCCAGGATTGGAACATTCCTCGGCCACAAAGGCGCTGTATGGCAAGCGAGACTTTCCGCCGACGCCGCCATTTCAGCAACAGCAGCAGCCGATTTCTCAGCGTAAGCATCCCGCTAATCATCTCCCACAATGATATGCTAACCTCAACCTCCAAAACAGCAAGGTCTGGGATACCTATACAGGCGAATGTCTGCACACACTCCAGCATGCACACATCGTGCGGGCAGTAGCATTCCCAATCCAAGCGAATCCGCAAGTCCTTGCGACAGGTGGTGCAG